AATGAAAGTGCTCAACCAGTAGAATACAATTTACTATGTAAAATTTAAATCTAAGATGACCGCCGCTACCAAATGGCTGATAACAATTTTTTAGAGGAGTTGGACTGCAATAAACTAACGGGCAAGAAACCTTGCAATAATGAAGCACTAAATGAATTAAACAGAATGCGAAATAAAAACTAAAAACTAGAAAATAAAAATAGGTAAAAAAACTTTTTAAGTTAAACGGTTTTACGTGAAACCTACATTGCAATGTTTAAGATAAAAGTACTAAAAACCAAAAAATAATAAAATAGATACAGTCGTTGGAATTATAAACATATGCATAGACTAGACTAAAATAAAACCGTGGCGCACGTCAATTTTCTACAATCGTCGATTAAAATGTTTGTTTTGTAATGTTACACTATAATTAGGCAGTTGTTCAACCGACAACGATGGACATGTGATAAGTAGGTCTAGAATGTGGAAACAAGCCAGCAAGCTCGATTATAAGCGAGTTTTAAGGTTTCATAGTGGTGAGCGAGTAGCAGTACTTTTATCATATGTTTTGTCGATTAAAGACAAACTACGAGCAGTGAAACGATTCCTCGCCAGCCAGAAGTGTGAATGTCCAACGATGAACTAGTTGAAACATCTTTATTTACATGGAGTGTATATCTATTGGAATTTCCATGAGAAGGAAAATAGTAAGTAGTTTCCTCACCGTCTGGGGGCCAACTGCCTAATGACGAATTAAACGATTCTTCTATCGCACATTAAGTCGATAATTTGTAGACGTGCCCCACGGTTTTATTTTAGTCTAGTTTATGCATATGTTTATAATTCCTACGACTGTATCTATTTTATTATTATTTGGTTGTTAGTACATTTATCTTAAACATTGCAATGTATGTTTCTTGTAAAACCGTTTAAATTAAAAAGTTTTTTTTTAAACTACAAACTCCTTACGTTTCGGATACTTTTCAGCAACCGTGATCACGGGCAGACGAGAATGTCTGTTAGTTACACTTGTTATTTATCATCTACTGCAATCGATTTCTTAATTTTCTGAACTACTGTTCTGGATATTTTGGACTCTTCTGTTAGTACGGCTGTTTCTTTAAAAGTTTCGTATCTTTAGCTTCTACACACTCTTCTCATTACAAGATGTAAGCCCCCAAGGCTTTGTCCGTTTCTTATGCAAAAGCCAGGGGACTTATGAAGTGTTAAAGAGTAAATAAGAAAATATGGACAGAAGAAACATTACAATTGTTTACAATTGAGTTATTAGAAAAGTCAATAGATTAGCAATAACCTTTTTGGAACAAATTAGGTTTAAACGATTAAAAAAAAACAAAATTATCCTACTAGCATTGTAAATACAAAAGTTTTCGAAGATGTATAGTCGCTTGTTGCTTTTTTAGTCGTTGTAGTTTTTCTCGGAAATATAACTGCATACAAGTTAAGTACACAACATTGCACAAGTTGTGCATTTTTCACAATACAGAGAGCATTTCCAGTTCTCCATTCCTTGCCTACGATGATGCAATCGTGAACTCAAAGCATTCCCAAATGAGTTTAACAAAGCATACTTGTGGTAAAGCATCAGTCTCATGTACCTAATATGAACTCACATGATACAAACATTTGATGTTTCCGACGGTAGATAAATATATCTATTATAGTAAGTTCCTACATATTATTCCTTTCCCCTTCAACTCAATACCTGAACACAAAATGGATTAAGTGGTTCATAAGAAATAATAGATTTCACTCATTTATGAATTTAAAAAACTGTCACATATATACATATAATACGTTGAGTGACATTACTTTATCATATAACAATTAGTAAGTATTTTAGTAAGCATTTTATTCGTACAAAAAATTTATTAAAAAATAATTCATTGCCAATTTTGTTACTCAATCAAGAAGTGCTTAATTATTTCGAGGAATTAATATAAATATTCCTTCAACTTCTTTGATTATAAGTTGGTACATATATTTTAGTTGGCGAACTTTAATGTTTTTAAGCATTTGATGATAATGACATATTGAACCTGGGTCATTAATTATGTGTTATACTTAACGATTATTAAAACATTATAACGTCAAGATCCTGACAGGCATTAAAAGGTTCTAGTTCAAACCGGCACAATTATCTTTAATCAACAATATCTTTCAACCACCGTAATGACTTATCGTTCTTATTGGGATTATTAAAAAACAAAAACATCAAAAAATTTACTTGTTTGTAACAAGAAACAGTACTTAAATGAGATTAATTTTTCTAATAATTTCCAAGTTATTACGTTTCGGATGTTGTACCCTATACTTTTTATTTTCGTTTTAAAACACTCATTTAAGTAAAATTAAAACGGTAACCTCGTTACCCTGTAAACACCACAGCACTATATTAAGAAAAAAAAATAATATTATATTGTTGCAATATAAAATAAAATCTCATTTAAAGATGGACGTTAGTTCTAGTAAGTTAAAGCATCACGTGCATTATAAAATGATCTAAAACAGACAAAGGGAAGTAAACAATTGTGAATATTAGTGCCGGAGATGTATATCTGTTTACCTACTGGGAGGATATCTCTTTAACAGATCGGGATTGACCTCTGACCAAGGATAAGGTTACGAAGGAGGGCTTTGATTTATTGCGAGTCTCAAAGTCGAGCTACTTCATAGTTATCAGCTATCTCTTTCCCATTATAACTTTAATTCCTTAAAAAATTTAATTTAATTTTACATTATAGAAGAAATGAAAAGTTTTTTACAAAGAGATAAATTCTTTCTTTTCAAACCTGTAGCGATAAATTCTTTCTTTTCAATGAATCGACGTCTGTATGAAAATATATAATAAAGAAATCGCTCTTCAAAAGATATGCATTCTTTAGAGCATTCAGTTACTGAATATTTCTTGTATATTCTCAAATAAGTTAAAGTTTTTTTGTTTACAAGAGACAGAATAATTCGATTCATATTTAACTGTTATTTCTTCTTGTTTTCTCTCTTTACATTAGTTCAATACTTACCTATTATGTAAAATGGACTTTAACCCTAATACGACCAGTCATGGGAGACTTACGACCTTGGTTCACCGCGGATAATCGATTGTCCAGAATTTCAATGGATCTGAAACTAATTTAATTGTTAAAATGGTTCATTCCAAAAAGTATGTATAACGTAAGTTTAATATGCAATTGTTCATGCATAATGACATCAAGCCCATCAAGTTGTCAAATATTATGCCGCGGTCGCAGAGTAAAAATATTACAAAAGATAATTAATAGTTATGAAATAATTTTAAAATATAATGTAATAGCACATTAAATATGTATATGCTATTACGTTAATATTTATTTGAAGATGCTTAAAACACGTGACTTTAATAAAAAGACAGCTTCAGTATTAGGTAATTTGCTTTGTTTAATTCAATATTTCTTTGTAACACTATAATTATTGTATAGTTTCACACTTAGCGTTGATGCAAAAAAAAATGTAATTATTAAGTGACGCATTAGACAAAGTGCAAATTATTTCATTAAAAATATCAAATTAAATATATATACCTAAAAACATTGATTACGTAACATACTAAAACATGATTTAGCAAGAAATATATTAATTTTATATGTACTTTAAAGTCTGGATTATTAGAACTTTCATTGTTCTAAAACGCAAGGTCGTGTAAAAATAATGATGAAACAAATATATTTTACAAGAATAGAAGCAAGAGTAGGGTAAGGTATGTTAAATTTAGAATTATTTATAAATGTAAGTACATTATTGTATATAAAAGTATATCTTAAAAAGAAGTCAAAAAATTTAAATAAATTTCTCACACTTTTAATACAACAATCAAATTGACTGTTATTAAACACTATACAAAATTATAATTGAATTGAACGGTGGTATGTCCTAGCTGTGTCAATTACTACATCACGAACATGGGCCGGCTCCACCGGGGAAGTACCACTCACAGAAGTAAACTTTAATGGCTAAATTTGGTCCGATAAGTGAGTCACCGGTTATCCTTTCCATTTTCCTACCCTTTCCCTCTTCCACAACCAAGGCTCGCGACACATCTTCAACATTCCTTATGGCTTATGTTGCAAATGTCTATGGGAGACAGACACTACCTTCTATCAAGTAGTTCATCTAGACGTTTACCACCTTTGATAAAACAAAACAAAGAAGATTTTTTTTTCATCTATATAAAAATATGTTTAATAACTTCCTATATTATGTACACATGTTTCTGAATCTAAATTCAATTTAATGTATTTTTTTTTATTACTGCGCAAACACGCAGTTTAAACTACGCGGGCGTTTTCATAACGTAAGTATTATTTGACTTTGATATAGATTTGATACATAACACAATTATATGCTTTAGTAAAGTAATAATGATAATAATTGCCTGGTATAATGTTTTTCCCAAGCGATTTATTCTCACGGTCGAAAATAATAGTTTAAGATTTTTTTATGCTTAAGTTACTTTAGAATTACTTCTGGAAATATTTAAATTATTTGTTAAAGGATGCGATGAACCTAAAGTATAAATGAATAAGAAAATAAACAATAAAGTTATCACGAATGTTAGTAAATAATGACAAAAGTCTAGATGCGACCATTGCTAATAGAGCATGATAGCAATAAGGAGGAGTTCATATTGACATTGCAGGATAAGTAAAATCATTTTTGATATATAGTTGTTTAAAATAAGAAACCATCGTATTAAGGAAAATAAACGATAAAAGTGTAGTACAGTTTGAAATCTAATTTATTATATTAAAAATATATATTATATCATACATTTGTTTATTAAAGTGGACGAAATAACCATAATTAAAAAAAAATAAAATTGTTTGTTTACCTGAATTAATTTATTATAATAAAGATAGTAGGTATGCAGTCTCCCTTATAACGAAGGTGCGCGCGATTCATTCACATCATTGCAATTGACGGACAATAGCAGGCGAGCCAGTCCCGCGCCGACCGCCCGCATGCCCACAACGCGCACTCTACTCAGCAAGCGCTGGTTCCGCAGCCGCCGGACCGAAGAGCCCGAGGATGGCCCGCGCTCCCTTCAGACCATGGACCGCAGGCCCCGCGTCGCACGAGTCCTCAGCTCCCCCGCGAGGACGCAGACCACGCCCCTCGACGAGGAATCCATGGAACGAGCCTACCCCTCCATGGGGCACCTGGAGTATGTCCTGGCCGGTTCTTCCCCGCCCGCCGAGAGCGCCCCCAACATGTACGACAGCTTCGAAGAACCCCCGCTGGACTTAACTGCGCATATATGCGCCGACTCCATACGTCAGAGCGCTTACGAACAGATGCGAACCGTCGGTGGGCGATTACGATTACTCGATGAGCTAGAATCGAATGTCATATCTAAGGAGACGGCTATTAACACTTTCACTACTGCTTCGGAGGCTGAGAGGAATGTCTGTTTGTTTTGGAGTTCATTTCTGAAATTAGACCACTTCTTGCCGGCTTTGCTCGAGGCGGGCGCTGACCCTTTATACTTTGATGCGCTTGGTTTGTCTCCGTTACATGTGGCGGCTTTTAGCGGTTCAACGGAATGCGCGAATTACTTGCTATCTTGCGGAGCTGATCCTAATTACATGCCACGGTGTTTCGTGCCGCTTCACAGCGCTGCATTCGGGAACTCTGTACAGGTCGCTAATCTACTAATTAGCCGTGGAGCGTCTGTTCATGCGGCTGTAAAGTACGTTAACTGCGAAGGTGGACTGTTACATTGCGCTGTTAGAGCTAACGCTGTTGAATGTTTGAAATTGTTTATATCGCATGGCGTAGACGTCAACCAAATCGAACCGGGAGGCACTAATGCTATCCATCTAGCTGCCGACTTAGGAATGATCCAGTGTCTTACGATACTTTTAGCGACACCGGGCGCTGATCCAAATGTAAGAACAAGGGTTGGAGATAGAGAATCTACCGCATTACACCTAGCCGCAGACGGAGGTTTTGGAGAGTGCGTCGATCTACTTCTCAGTAAAGGCGCTGACGCAACATTAAAAAACCACAGAGGTTTTACCGCTTTACATCTCGCAGCACGTTCAGCAAGCTTAGAATGTGTAGAATCCCTGTTAAGAAAAGGTAACGCGGAACCAAACTCTATGGACTTCGATAAAAGGACACCCCTCCATGCTGCCATCGGGAAATGTGACAGCGCATGCGATATCATTGAAACGCTCATCAGTTGGGGCGCCAATGTAAACCAAAAAGACGAATATGGCTTCACGCCACTACATCTCGCTGCACTCGACGGTCTATCGGCATGCGTCGAGACATTAATATATCACGGGGCCGATGTAACGACGCGGTCTAAAAAAGGAAACTCGGCGCTTAATGTAATAGCGCGAAAGACGCCCGCGTCGCTTGCTATGATAACAAGGAAGTTAGATTGCGCTATCACGTTACACCACTCGCAGACGAGCAACAGAGAGGTCGAACTTGAACTAGACTTTCGCAGTATACTACAACATTGTTATCCGAGGGAGATAAGCTACCTGAATACCTTTGTAGATGAAGGGCAGAAAGAAGTATTACTACATCCCTTATGCTCGGCTTTTTTATACATTAAATGGGAAAAAATACGTAAATATTACGTAGCGCGACTATTTCTAAGCTTCATATTTGTTCTATGTTTAACTTTGTACGTTTTAACAGCGCTCGCGCATAATTGCTATAATGGAAGTAAAGATATGGAGGAGACAATTCAGGAACAAGAACTATGTCAAAAACAATCTATACTCGGGGATTTGCTTAGAAAAAATCCTTTTGTTATCGAAATGCAATGGTGGGTACTAGCTGGAATAACAATATTCGAAATATTCAGAAAAGTTTATGGCATAGCCGGCTACTCGACCGTGAAACAATATTTGATGCAATCAGAAAATATAATAGAATGGTTTGTCATTGTGAGTGTGTTTTTGATATCGTATATTTATACAAACATTACCTACACTTGGCAAAACCATGTCGGAGCGTTCGCAGTCCTGGCTGGATGGACGAATCTCATGATGATGATCGGTCAGCTGCCAGTGTTTGGTACCTACGTCGCTATGTATCAGAAGGTGCAAAAAGAATTTGCAAAACTTTTAATGGCTTATTCTTGCATATTAATCGGATTCACTATAAGTTTTTGTGTCATATTTCCCGACTCCTCGTCTTTCGCTAATCCTTTCATGGGCTTCATAACAGTACTGACAATGATGATCGGCGAACTCAACCTAGATCTCCTTTTAAATGAACCGGATGGCAACGATCCGCCGGTGCTATTGGAGTTTTCAGCTCAGATTACGTATGTTCTATTTCTAATGTTCGTGACGGTCGTGCTTATGAATTTACTGGTCGGTATAGCAGTTCATGACATTCAGGGATTGAGAAAAACAGCCGGTTTGTCGAAATTAGTACGACAAACGAAACTTATTTCTTACATGGAATTAGCATTATTCAATGGCTATCTACCTAAGTGTCTTTTAAAAATACTGCACTCGTCAGCACTTGTCTCTCCGCAAGCATATAGAGTTGTATTGAGCGTTAAACCGTTAAATCCGAGCGAGAAGCGACTCCCGAGAGATATTATGATGGCGGCGTATGATATTGCTAAAATGAGAAAACAATACGGACATACGATTTCATCCAATGGATCGACAACGGGAGCTTATTCTTGTTTTAAGAAGTACGAAAACAACAATGATTCTGGTTACCGAGAATACGGTTACTCATCTGGATTAGGAAGTATTCAGGCTAGATTGGATGAAACATCTGAAAGTGTACGTCAGCTTACGCAAGAGGTAAAAGAGTTGAAAAAGCTAATAAATGCCCAACAACTTGTAATTCAACAAGCCCTGGCCAGCGCGGTGGACAACCGTTGATGATATAATAGCCCATTTATATTTCAATGCCGACGGCACAAGTCAATAAACTATAGCGAGCATTGTCGTATATTTATACTTGCTTGAAATTACTGTTGCAAACTTAATGTTATGAACATTTTGTATTGCAGATCTTGAGAGATAATAGTTTTTATTTATGTAAAACAGAGATAAGCTGTGATCGTAGTTGTTATAGTTTTTAATATTATGTGATATAATTTATCATGATAATAAAATAGTTTTCATTATCAATATGATGTTTTATTTTCAATTTACTTTTGTTTGGATTAATTTAATTTTTTCCATGATAAATATTTCAATATACTGATTATTATAATAATATGATTTTCTTTTAAATATTTTTATCATAGACGTTAATATTTGAAGAAATATTTATTTCAGTACATATCTAATAATTTGTTCTTAAACAAGCATTCTTACTAGAAAATTTAGACTAATTCTAATAACTTAACAAACTACTACAACCTCTTACTAACTAGTAATCAAAGTGTCTTTTTATGTCTTCATCATATTTTGTAATCAGGAGGAACATAATAGCAATAACAATAATTATTTTTACATTAGCAAGGTAGCGCAATTATTTTTACAGCTGTTTTATTATTTTTAAATAATTGCAACTGGCAACATTCACTCGAGGTTTCACGAGTTGCGCGCTAAGATTGAATCAATCAAAGCAAACTGCGATCAATAGCCTGAAGAGAATAGAAAATCTAGATTCAGGTCATCTCATCTCTTTCACCCAGACGGATCCGGAGGCTGCTAAATTCGTACCTAAATTGCTGTATTGATTACTTGTTTCCGTTCATTTTGCGTGTGTCATTCAAATGCAGGGCAGTTTTAAGATTCAGCTCATAAACATGGGGACTCGGGCGGCAGCCTGTAAGTGCATAAGATATACGCCGCTTTCGCTCATATGTTCGAAAACGCCGCATGCATGTCCATTAACGCGTTTCTTTTTCAGAGGTGGCTCGATTCTGCGGCCTCATTTTAGTGAAAGCTTTTTGTGTGTTCCTAATGCAGTCCACGCAGGCGTTTGATACCATGCAGCTTCTTATGGAGCCGCTCAATCAGAAAGGTGAGCTCGTGTTCACGGGCAGATATTTATAACTGTTGCACAGATTTCGGACCTGCTGTCATGCTATGGCCCTTCGCTTTGCATCTTACTCAGAAACGTCTTCTCGCCCTGTCCATGTCTTAATAGTATTGCCATCTGTTTCTTCAACACCTCTGTAGTCTTCTCTAACATTTGTTACAGCTTAGGGGTTAACTTTCTATTGCTTGCTGACAATTTCCATTAAATCTCAATTTAACATATTATTTAAAGGATTATTCCAATAAGCATCTTAGCTGAGGCACAATTATTTTAATATGATGATATATAAGATGGCAATCCTAATAAATGTTGAGTGTACCCCGATCGGTGTATTTCCTTGAATGCACGGCTCTACCAAGGCATATCAGTGGCTACCTTTCCATTTCCTATTGATGTAACATGACCAACCCCATTCAATGTTTTGGTGTTCATCTTAGGCTGTTGTCTTGTTGTTGGACTACATATTGTAATGGTGATAAAAATCTGTTCATCATCTAAGGTTTGAATTGTGTTTAAATAATTTTAAATAGGTGTGTTCATATATGAAGGATTACATCTTAAGGAATAATTTGATGTCTAGCTCACTAATAATATGGAATAATTATATATTTTTAATAGCAATGGTTTCAATTTTTATGAATGTTAGAATCTTAGGGAATATTTAAAATTATTTGTTTATTTTAATACCTATAATAAAATGGTGTTTCATAAAGTACTTCTTTTACTTTTCAACGACCCTTCTAGAAGTTTAAATATAGCTAATAAATATACAAAGCGATAAATCATGAACTTGAGTCACTTTCTACGCTGCTATGTATCCTTGTGGCTTCTGCATTGGGACAGACATGTTAATTTTTGTTATTTTTATTTGTAGATGCTCCACATTGCATGTTTTATAGTTAAATCCAATATATAGTTTCAACATAACTGTAAATCTTAATAAATAATAACATTTTTATAATAATCTGCTATAAAAGTATATCAGGCACTTTAAATCATATTATTATTCTGGTGAAAACTTATCTATATGAACTCGATATACATTTCAAATAAGACGTTGGAATTTCTTCTGCAAGTTCTATGTTGTGGTCTTTAACATGAGTTGTTGCAGTCACAGCAAAGATCAGGAGCCTATATGACTGCCAACTGCGTCTGATGCACAACATCCAGCCCTTGCCGTCGGGCTTGGACATTGCCAATACTGTCAAATACTTCTCACAGACTTTACTTAGTGAGTACTGAATGTTTTAAATTAATATACCCTATTTTACTAACATTTTTGTCACAGGTTGGTTGCAAGAAAGAAGAAGTTTACACAAATAGTATATTATATATAATATTTTTTCTATGCTTTTGATCATAATAATGTTATAATAATAAACATGTTTATACTGATAATAAGCTAATATAGTTATGTGTTTTATTTTCCAGGTGTTCTCAAAGATGTTCCAAGATCACCTCTGGAGATGATGCGTGATGCTGACAATGACTCGGAAAGAATGAGTCTGTATCCAAACCTTGACTACAAGGGCCTGTTCAACGCCATCTCACAACTTGTCGATTCAGCACCACATTTACAGTATGGTATTCAAGGTAGGCAAATAGAACTTTATTATAATATTGCTAACTTAGTTTCCCTATAATAGTTTATTATTATAAAAAAAATTGGTTTCAAATATTATTATTTACTTAATAAGTGTTATATATTTTGTAATTAAATTCAAATAAAATGTTATTATTAAATACATAAAATTTTGATCTTCAAATATTAAAATTGAAGTTTTTATTTTATAAGTAACAAGGTAAACTTATATATAATGTTAGTAACCATTTACTTTGCAGCATTTGGTGAAGCAGTGCTGCAATGTCTGGGTTGTCTGTTGCCGTTCTTGGAATATGATATGATAGACAACCTGCCCTACTTAGTAGCATACTGTGTAGCTGTGTTCCCGCCCGACCTGCATCAAGAAATACTTAACCTACTGTGTTACTACATACTACCTTTCACTATCAGTAAGTCTCTGTTTCTCTATTCCGTCATTTTCATTCATACCTAACATTGTAATATTCAATAAAACTATATATATATTTTTTTATATTTTTTTATATTTGGTTCTCCAACAATGTGTACACTAAATATATACAATTTTCAATGAATAAATCTTAAAATTAAGTGTCACAATTATTTACAGGAGAACACAGCATGCACGAATTACTTAGCGGAACAACACTTTATTATTTATGATATACATAAATATATTATACGAAATATATGGTATATAAAACATAAAACATATTAGATTTGTCATGTATGTATTGTACTAAGTAGCAAACTCAATGACAGCAATTAGTATAGTAATCTACCTAGATTACACTTGGCATTATATTATTATTTTAACAATACTACAAGTATAACTAATACCTAACAAATATCAGTTGAAACCATAATAAGATTTTGATTTTTATATAATGTTTTTTACATTAATATTAATTTTACTTGTAGCTCGTCGGTACTCCGGCTTGGAGGAGGAGAGTGAAGCTTCTCAGTCTGTAGGTGCTATTATCATGATGGTGTTTCAACATTCTAATAATCCAGGTATGTAATTTCATTATAACATCTACTAAATTGATTAAAGTCAGCTTATATAACATTAATTACTTAACTCAGTCTTTTAATCTAATAATAAAAAGCTTTGAACTTAATCTACTATGGACATCATTGGTGATGAGTTTCTATAAACAACACCTTCCAGGAAATGTACCTCTAGTATTGCGTTCATCATTCAGTTCTGGATTAATATGAATATGTATCATGCAACATTTGTATTAGTTTAGGAATAAATGCAATAATCATCATGAAATTTATAACATTCAGATATTATCTGACAGGTCATTAAGGTAGTTGCAAGTCAGAGTACTGTTAATATTTATGTATATACTAGCTTTCCGCCTGCAGTTTCGCCCGCGTGGAGTTCGGTTATATCGTGTTTCCAAGAAAACCTTTCAAAAGTCTGTGATAAAAACTATCCTATGTTCTTTCTCAAGGTCAACTCTATCTCTGTACAAAATTTCATTAAAATCAGTTCAGTGGTTTAGTCCTGAAAGCGTAACAGACAGACAGACAGAGTTACTTTCGCATTTATAATATTAGTAGGGATACAACTTTTCCTGCGGCTCCGTCCGCGTAAACATCAATGTTCTTTACCACTAGGGACACTGAACCCGAATTGTACTTCATGGTTCCATCTGTGTAGTTTTGGGATTGAAATCGTGATAAAAAGCAGCCTATTTCCTTCTTCAAAGTACCATCTACCTTCATACCTAAATTCATCAAAATCGGTTGAATGATTTACTTTTGGAAACGTAACAGACAGTCAGACAGTTACTTTCGCATTTATGATATCAATAGCGACATTTGGTCAATTCTATGTAACTAATCCATATTTATATTTGTTTATGACAACCCCAACTGTAATTTTCCAGCTCATCACTGCCAACTCCTGGAATGCCTAATGTCTATGAAGCAGCTGGTTGTTAAAGACCTGTTGTGTGTGATCGCCTACGGAACCTTCGGAGCGAGGGTCTCCGCCGCTAAACTACTTTTCTACTATTGGCCACCCTTCGACGCACAGCTCTTTGACAGAAAAGGATTACTGTGTAAATTCTCCAGTAAGTTAAACATTATTTGTTTTTCACGTTATTCTGCCTTATATGTGGATTTTATTTCGCACTTTATGTTTATTTTATTAATTTGTTTTTAGTTGTGAGTAGTTCCAGTAGCAAGAGAGTCTTCGATATTATCAGGTACATATTGTTTTAAACCTATGACATAAAATACTTTGAATTAGAAAAAATTGCATTTAGAAATTGCCTGTTAAAATTGTTATTACAGCGATCGTATGATTAATACTGGAAATTCAGATCAGATCCTAAAGTTTTGTCAACTATGATCTTCTTATTTGTAAAATATATTCGTTTCATTCATATTTGTTTAAATTAAGTTTCTGAATAATATTTCATAAATATTAACATATACTTAAAAACTTTATTACATAAAGCACTATAGCTTAAATGGATTTCTATAGCCGGCTGTAATCTTAACAACTTATCGTAGAATGAGATCTAAGATTTTCGCGAGTACCCATTTAAATGAAACTAATATTTTCGGATTTCACTTTGCGTTTTTTATTTTTGATTACGAACTACATACTCCCGACGTTTCGGCTACAGCAACCGTGATCTCGTCTGCCCGTGAGTAGTTCGTAATCAAAAATAAAAAACGCGAAGTAAAATCCGAAAATATTAGTTTCATTTAAACTTATCGTAGTATGTAAAGGAGTCTCCTATAATAATGATGGTTCAGATTATAATGTATGTTTGTTTCTATGTTCCAGACGATCTGGTTCCGTTTCTGTGTCAGCGTGACATGTGCCCCAACGCGGGCTGCGCGGAGGCCGCTAAGGTGTGTTACGATCACTGCATCAGCGTGACATTCGCCTCCGACACGCCGCCGCCGCTCTACCTCTGCATAGAATGTGCAAACGAAATACACAGGTTACTTTACAGAACATGATTTTTGTTTGCATCACGCAAGATTTAATATTTAATCTCGTTATATATCGTCGGGGATAGTGTAGATACGCTGAATTATCCAATGGTACTTACGCGGTTTTGCACTATACCCGACGATATACATTTTCGTGCAGAAATGCCCAAAAGAGGCTAGTCATTTTTGATTAAATTTTTTAAGAGAATATTATTTAATTGAGTAATAATTCTATCAGGGAACATCCGAATCAACGCTTCTTCGACATTTTACATCCACAGCAGCAAGTGTCGATGGTTTGTGAAAATAAGGTTTGTGTTCTCTCACATCATAGTATATTATAATAATACTAGAAGACCCGGCGAACTTCGTATCGCCCTATAATCAAGAAATATCTGTTACGTTTTTTTATTTATATTTTTGGAGTTTACCTGGACATATTAGTTAGTTGTCAAATCTAATGTCAAAAAGCAAACGTTTGTATCAACAACTACTAATAAATTAAAAATTAATTGAAGAAACATTGTCCAGCGGACAAAATTGTGAATCTAAACAATTCTCAGATCCCCTTGAATACACACAAAAAATTTCATCAAAATCGGTCCAGTCGTTTGAGAGAAGTTCAGTGACATACATACTCACAGAAGAATTATACATATATACCTAACGATAATTGAAAACTTTCCTTGAATACTATATTAACTCGTTACAGAACTGCCGGTCGTCGGACAAGGCGGCCTACTCCATCTGTTTTTCCAACGAGTGCGCCAGTTACAACGGGAATCATCCCATCCGGTGAGACTAGATAATAATATTTATATAGGACCTATCGTATCCATTAGTTAGTTTTTCATCTCCAATGATGAATGGTTGAACTCAGTTCTGGCAAAAATTAGGCAATATTTTTTTTTTAAATAAATAATAAACTTTATTGAAAAAACACAAAGCTTGCACAATAATAGATCAACATATAATGATAAAATTAATCTTCTAAACTTAAACTATTACAGTGCCTTCTATTGGTTGAGGTGCTTTATGGTTTCAGCAAATTTTAAAATTTCGACTATTTTTGTTGCTAATCATCGAGGCAAGACTTAAATAATCACCAATCTGATAATCTATATAGCGTTTGTGTTTGGTGTAATGTGTTAGTTTAAATATATTTTAAATGTACGTCTTTAACGACTACTTATGTTAGTATGATAAGAATATAATTATAATACTTAGATAATAAATATAATTATACTACGGTCCCTACCTCAGTAATGGTATTCCATAATTATCCACTTCAAATAATTATGCCTAATAATCACTGTATCATCATGTAGGTCACACATTTTAGGAAAATATTTTAAAATAACAATGATAGTTTAAATCTAAAATAAAATCTACAAAATGAAATAATTCAGTCCACTCGCTTGAAACATATCACATAGTCAAGTATGAAAGTCGTGCATATTTTTTGTACTGAGTCGGGTAATTTGTTTTAAAAAGTATAAACAACATAAATGAAGTCATAATAAAAATTTATGTATAATAAAAATATATGTGTAGTTTAAAATTAGTTAAAAAAAAGTATCATAAATAAAATTGCTTTTGCTTTGCTTTTATAAATTTACTAACCAATTCATTTATTGAGTTTAATTTGTAACGTACTAACACTATATTATTATTATTTATGTCTTTAGTTTTCGCAACAAAATTGTTGGTATATCTACTGCTGTGTATGGGCCAAAGCCAAGTGCACAACAGGGAAAAAATAAGTTATTTAGGTTCAGAATTGAGTGTTATTATTATTATATTTAATAGTTATTATTATTATTATATTTAATAGTTGTTTGTGGTAGGTACTGTCAGCAGTGTCACGGTAATCGTCACAACAGTCGTCGCGGAGGGGACCACGTGGTGCACACCAGACTGCCTCCCGCCTGGCAGATGGAGAGCGACATGCAGACCAACCTTGTGGAGGCTATCATAAGGTACACGGACACACACACACACACATGCTCAATGAATCATCATCAGCCTATCAGAGCCCACCGCTGTGCAAGGCCTCTTCACACATGGAGAAGGTTTGAGCATTAATCACCACGCCTGCTCAAGCCGGATTGGCGATTTCAAAGTTATAATTTGAAATTATAAATCCAGGTTTCCTCACGATGTTTTCGCTAACTGTCTGTTATTGGTGTCTAAATATCTATAAAGTACATATGACTCGGAAAAATCACATTGGTACTTGGCACGTTTTAAAATCACGAGAGGCGGTTCTTTAACCACTAAGTTACCCAAACTCAAACTCAAACTCAAATAATTTTATTCAGTATAGAAGCATTACATTTTCTTATTGATGGTCACTTGAGACACTACCACCTGTTCGGAAAAGAAAATACCCTGACCTGAAAAGAACCGACGAAAGAAACTCAGCGGGTTTTTTTTTAATATATATATTTGTCTCATATATTACATTTATAATGTTTAATTAATAATGTTATCTGCTGTAGCCTGTTGAAAGAAGCCAAGCCCACGAACATGGAGGATCCGGACAGCTCCTCGGAAGAACAACACTCGCCCATCACCGTCACACTACACGACCCTATATGTTTAGAGGACAGACAACTACTAGGGCGGTGAGATATATGACTGAGAAACACTCATACATAATAAAATAAATAAATATGTTGATATATATTCAAAAACATGTAAAGAGTGTAAAATTAAAATAATAAAATGGATGAAAACTTTAAGTTTTCAAGAAATGGATTTTTTTTTAATATAGGAACTAGCATTCATATCCTACACATACAACACACACATACACACACTCACTCACACATACTTGAACTTGCTATAATTACTCTCTGTGCAATAAAAATTATACAACACTACTTACTATATTGAAAGTGAAAGTTTCATTATATAACTTATTTTTTTTTCGTCCATCTATCATGTCGCATTACAACTGACTATGTGTAATTTAGTGTCACATAATTGGTGAAAATTAAATTTAATATATATTGTACTCAGGTAAGAACAATTGTGCCATCATCAGATTGACTTTATTTATTATGTATCTTCTACGAATATATACATTTAAAATTATATTTGGTTATCTTGTCGATTACTGAATTCGCTTTTACCGTTAAAAAGTTTTACCTGCATATTGTTTTCATAAAAAAAAAAACAGAATTTCATATATTTGTAGTATGTTTATAATCAGTGGCTATAGTTCAACATCTTCTATGTATATCAGGTATGGAGTATGGCTGCTGGTCGGTCTCTGTACACCAAACGCGGACACTCCTGACGAGGTTTTAGGAAGACTGCTATCAGTTTTATTCCATTGGTTTCATGTCACCTCGTACGCCTATACAGGTAGAACCTTGAAGTACATCTTAATTAATTAATCTTTAATTGGAAATCATACCATTATATCTTTATCCATAGGCATTTTTTTAAAAGTTCTAATAGTTACTTTCTTTAATATAGAAACGTGATTAAACTATATATATTACTAGCTTTCCGCCTGCAGCTACGCCCGCGTGGAGTTCCGTTATGTGGCGTTTCCAAGAGAACCTTTTAAAAGTCTGGGATAAAAACTGTCCTATGTTCTTTCTCGACGTCAACTCCATCTCTATACCAAATTTCATTAAAATCTGTTCAGTGGTTCACCCGTAATAGCGTAACAGACAAACCGACAGACAAAGTTACGTTCTCATTTATAATATTAGTAGGGATTACTAATATATTTGTTCAATCAGGTGAATTAGCCAATACCATCGAGAAGCTGAAATTGGAGCACGTCTGTCCGTGGCTGCGTGAGTTGGCGGGGTCTCATGAGAAGGTGGTGATGTCCTGCCTTCTGCCTCACCCGCCCAGCCAGATGAGGCAGGCGGGACACTGGGACAACCTGGCTACTACCACACACCATCTGAAGGACGGACTTAATAGGTGATGGACATACAAATTGATCCACATATTACTACTATGAAAGCCGACTGCTGAATACATACTGCCTTTATTTCCAATAGATCGTACATTAAATAGGTACAAAATTAGCTTACGTAGTATACAGGGTGACTGGTGAATTACTATCGATATTTGAGGACGTGATATTTGACGATCATATATGACAAAATAAAAATTAATATAACATAAATATTAATAAACTTCTAAGTAAAGTTAACCAAAAGTTATGTAATTAATTACGCATCGTATGAACACCCTACAGATTAGGTATTAGGTACACACACACATACGCGCGCGGCGGCGTGTTGTTGTATCAGCACGCCGCCGCACGCGTTCACACTTGGAACACTTGGAACGTGTACACACTTTATTTATTTATACGGAAATTTGGTCAAAAATTAAGTACCTATTTTTTTTACATAATTCGAATGAGAATCATGTACCGAGTATACTCCTTAAATATTGATAGTAATTCACCAGTCACCCTGTATAATGGTTAATAAGTATGTTTAGTTAATATAATCTATTCACTACATCTCAATCTCTACGGACCCAATAAGTATTTATTATTAAATAAGATTGAACTGGTTCATGTGTCTTGAATATTAGTACTAAAGTGATGCTCATATTATTTTTATGTATGTTTGTATATAGAGCAATTTTTACTACAGACGAATTTATTAACAGAGTATATAGTTTAAAAAAATATATGTTGATGACTGGCTGGACATTAGTATTTCAATTTCAAAGCCTTACGACTAATATACAGATAAATTACTACTTTATTACAGATTATACTGCCTAATACCCTACGGTATCATAACTCAGTCGATGTGGGACCAGATCATGCCCAAGTGGATGAAGAATATCGTTAACAAAGTCCCGGAGAAGGTGAGCTTAATCATTGAAATCATATCTTTATATATATAATTCTTCCGTGAGTGTGTATGACACTGAAATTCTCTCAAACGACTGGACCGATTTTGGTGAAATTTTTTGTGTGTGTTCAAGGGGGCTGTCAATGGTTTAGATTCACAATTTTGTCCGCAGGACAATGTTTTTTAATTAATTTTTAATTTATTAGTAGTTGTTGATACAAACGTTTTTTTTGACATTAGATATGACAACTAACTTATACGTCAATCATTCTGTCGCACTTCAAAACACGGAGATTTATGGCTTTAATAGGTAAACTCCAAAAATATAAATAAAAAAAACGTAACAAATATTTCTTGATTATAGGGCGATAAGAAGTTTGCCGGGTCTTCTAGTAGTTTTATAAAAATATTATTTACGTTAGTAACGTCTTGTTAATAATGAAATAGGGTTTTGTAGTATTCCTTACTTATTTCTATATGTATAAAATTTACAGGAACTATGGGAGTTGAAGCAATCACTGGGTAAAGTCTTGGAGCCCGAAGGGACTATGCTAGGTGTGGATGAACGGCGCCTGTATGACTTTGTACGGCAGAGGCTCGAGCCGCGAGTGAGACCTGGACAACTGCAGAACGTGTTAGGATGGCTGCAGGTACGACTAATACATACATATGATAGATAAAATATGATTAGGTGGTAGAGCCTAGCTGTGGTTACTACAGCTCGAACATGGGCTGGCTTGGTCGGGGAAGTAACACCCTCTCACAGACGAGCACAGTTTCGTCCGATGAGTGAGAGAGCCAGTTGCCCTATCCCTATTCCCATCCTTTCCTGTCATTTCCTTATTCCCATCCTTCCTTTTTTCGCGACATCTCTGTTTTAAAAGTCTATGGGTGACGGTGACTACTGACCATCAAGTAGGCCGTGTGCTCATATACCACGTTTTACATAAAAAAAAGATAGACAGATACATAGACATTAAATATATATATTGATTAGACATATCTTAATCTCCACAAGTAGCCAGGTAGATCAATAAGACATACTTCCAGATGATATCCCTGTTGGAGATCAAGATCCCGCTGGGGACTCTGTTCGATCTGTTCAGTCACTGTGTACTCAACATGCCTGAGAAGATATGCAAACCTCCACCCGGTGAGATATACATTAAACAGAATATTTATCATGTGAAGTGATTAGTGTTTTCCTATTATCATATACATTAAAGGCGAGGTCGGCCAATATTCAGCTTGAAAAAAATCAAATAAAATAAAAAAAATATCAATTCGAGTCTAGAGAGCGTTAGTTTAATAGTTAAAGCAACTAGATCGCAGGTCGCAGATTCGAATCCTGTTCGTGTTGATGAAGTGATGGTTCTATATTTTCTATTTGAATGTAATGAACGAATGTAAATATCAGATAACCTCGTGCTTTGTTTCGTATAGTACTTTCTGAACAGACTTGTTCTATTTAAATTGATTTGTAGAAGGATATATTGTAAAAATAAATAAAGCTTAAATAAAATTTTCCTGTTTACTGTCAGATAAAAACAAAGAGAGGGAGTTCATATTCAACGAGTCTCCGCCGACTCGCAAGAGGGACAAGGACAGGGAGAGGGAGCGTCGCGACGCTGATGATTCTTGTTCTTCTGACTCGGAGTCAGAAGCAGACGATAGGAAGCCCGGTAGCCTCACCTGCTGCATCCTCATGATAGACATCCTACTCAAACAGGTGACCGGCATGTGACATGTGACCTGTAGTGTGACCTTTGACCTGTAATGTGACCTTGACCCTGACCGTAGCTTTGTTCCAGCTGGAGCTGCAGTCTGCAAGAAGCAGCGCGGTGTCCGTCAGCAGCGAGGCAACTAGGCTGCTGCGACTCATGCTAAAGACTAATAGCGTTAACAGCGCCGAACACGGTCAGCACTATTGATATGGTTTACATGATAGATAATTTTTGCTCGTCGTATTTTGTAATAAAAGTCCATATATTGATAATTTTAGGTGTCGCTTACAAGTCAAGCCACTTTGATCTGGTGATGTTATGTGACTATATTTTCCTCATTAAACTTCTTTAACGTAATCACCATCACTTCCTAATAACTATATCAAGTTTTCGTCTGAGTTATAGTGCCTAAAGTTTAAACTGCACACTATCTTCCTTTCTAATGCGCACAGCAATAGAGTGGAAAAGTGCTAGTTGTATTCAACACTAGAGAGAATAGAATATAGTTACTAAGATACTGTGCTTACCATCTGACCCTACATTCCTACTCAGCATCATTTGACATTAAATTAAACCTTATTATATAGTATGTGTGTATGTATGTGTGCGTTTCCAGCGGAGTGTATGTCGGGCGGCGCGTGTGCGTATTGTTCAGCGGCGGCTCTGTGTCACCAACTGGCTGTGCGCCTGGTGCGGGCGCTGCACAGACCCAGGAGACCTCAGGTGACACATACACCACGTTAAGGGTCAATACACTCAAGGCTTTTAATGTTATTTTCTTTTACTCTCTTATTAATTTCGTACTAACCACTACAGATTAAACAAAACTTGGTGTGAAGAATGTTAACAATGTTATATGTTTAAGTTAGTAATGTTCTCAAATAAGTGACTATGTATTGTTTTGTTGAGAATAAAGATCTTTAAACCTTATTTCAAAATCCACCAATTTCGAGGTGGACGCATGCGCGTTGGGTTCTGTACTATTAGATACAAAACCGGAACGAAAATTACTTTTGTTGTATGTAGCTGAAATAATTTTTGTTTAAATAAACAAAATTAGTTAAAGGGGTGACAAAAATACATGGTTGGCAATAATTTCAAACGTTTGACTAACGTGATTTATGAGACACAGTCTGGTGACCTAGTAACGGACGGACGGACAGCGGAGTCATAGTAGTAAGTCACGTTTTAAGTGTAGAAAATCAGGATGACAAGAAAAGGCATAAAATAAGCTTTAACAAAGTAAAAAATATAATACTTTTACTATAGCGCCTTCCACGGACACATACACTAATTATGTCTAGTACTAAATTATTAATAGTGTTTGAGATTTTTTTAATTTACAATATGTATGAGACTCTAATGTGGTTAATCACTGGGTTTGAAAAGAAACGTCTTTGTAGCTTTAAGTCGTATTTAATAATCATAGAAGATTTTAACATAGCATAATGAAAGCTTAGGCCAATGGGTGGTCCACCATATTTGGATGTATACATGAGATGTTTTATAAAGGAGACTTTACACTAGACTTAATTCCATAATATAGCATACACACTATATTTATTACACTTCAAGACTAATATGGAAGTTTAATTGTAACCTAATATTATTGTATGTACAGCCAGCCCTGGAGGAGTCGTGGCCGGAGCTGAAGAAGAGTCAGTCGGAGGACGAGCGGTCGAGGTCCGGTGACGTCACCAGCCACGGACACGACGCCGCGCCCGGCGACCGCGCTTCGGTGGGCGGGGTGCTGGTGCACATGCCGCATGTGAGTACACGCACACGCACACACGGACATACACACACACACGCGGGAGGGGGGACACGCGGACACTAGTCGAAAATTTTCTTTAATAGACCTAATGAGATCTAAGATTTTCGCGAGTACTCATTTAAATGAAACTAATATTTTCGGATTTTACTTCGCGTTTTATTTTTGATTAGAAACTACATGCTCCGACGTTTCTGCTACTTTTCAGCAACCGTGATCACGGTCAATAATAAAACGCGAAGGAAAATCAAAAATAAAACGCGAAGTAAAATCCGAAAATATTAGTTTCATTTAAGAGACCTTTCGATATATTTTCTTGATTCTCCGTGTAACTCTTAGCGAGTCGCGTGTAGTCTAGCTGATAGCTCTGTCGCTTCATTGATCTGTATGTTTTGGTTTAATGTTTTCTATGGACTATCGGATATATGTACAGGCTGCATGTCTCGTGGTCGCTCCTACGGGCAACACGAGCGCTCGCTCCGGACTTGACCGTGGAAGCGACGTATCGACGCCGCTGGTTACTTTCATTATGAATGTGTTATTTATTATGTAGGAGATGGAAACGCAGCGTCCATGTGACCGATCGGTCTTAATCCTCCTCTAATGAGGGTCATACACGCTACGGTCTACCGGAGAGGTCTACCTGTGCAGGTAGACCGGAATGTGTGTGGGAATAGACCTGTGCAGGTTTTTGAATGCTACCATTGTTCGGTTGACCTGTGCAGACATAGCTGCACAGATTACCTCTCCAGTAGACCCTAGCGTGTATATCGCACACCCGCGTCGTTTCCGTGTCCGCGCCCCGTGCCGTTGTTTTTCTCTATATATATAGATGTATAGTTTGTTCATTTCATGCAACTGTCTCTAATAAGCGACATCGGTTCGGACGCCACTCTGACCAAGTCGTCAGACACGCAAGTATGTATATTCTGATCGCTGGTCGTATTTTCTTTGCTGGTGTTGTGTTATTGTTTAGTTTCATCTCTAAGCATGTTTGTTTCGTGTCGCTTGTATCGAATGACCGCTGTAGTTACTCTATGTCATATAATTTCGCAAAGTGAAATCATCCTTTTATAGATCGCTTTTTACTTTTATATTACTTAAGTTATATACGTAGCATAACTTGTAGTGATAAAATGTAAATAATTTCGATGCAAAATCAAAATGAACAATTTATACATTTTTAATAATATTTTCTTTAAAAAGTGCATAAAAGACTGCAATACATATGAAATCATCTATACTAATATTATAAAGCTGAAGAGTTTGTTTGTTTGTTTGTTTGTTTGTTTGTTTGAAAGCGCTAATCTCCGAAACTACTGGTTCGAATTGAATAATTCTTTTTGTGTTGGATAGTCCAGTTATCGAGAAAGGCTGTGGGCTATATAACATCACGCTACGACCAATAGGAGCAAAGATATAGTGGTAAATGTGTAAAAAACGGGAGAAATTATTTCATCTTTGAAGCCTTCCGTTGCGTGCGCCGTGAAAACGGTTCAAGATACACAAAAAATATGTATGAAAGAATAATAGCTCTTTTAATGATCTAAAAAACACTTCGCGACAGTATATGTCTATCTCTTAAGATTAACTCACAACAACCGTTTTTATGGTACCTAATTTGGTCGAAATAATTTGTTTAAGTTGTATCAACATAATAATATTAATCTTTATTCAAATAAACAAATAAACATGTTGTTGGTTAAGAGTACTTCATTGTGAATTAAAAAACATAGGTTTTATCCTGAAAATTCTACGGGAACTCGACCATTCCGAAAACCCCACAAGAACGGGAACTATGTGGGAAGAACCAAAAATCTGCCGTAAGTCACTATTCCACGCGGACGGAGTCGCGGCAAAAGCTAGTCTTAATATAATATTTTGATATGTTTATTAAAATATATATAGTTCAAGTCAGTCCTACGACACTCAAATGACTTTTAAATATGATCATGAAGTTCATTACTTTCACACATTGTCTTTTAAGTAAAGACAGGTTAAAACCCATGTAAAAAGGGACTTCATATATCCCTAACACATAGCGTTAATGAAAAGGTGGAATGACAAATACCTTTTTTCTTTAAAACCATCTATATCATCAGATTTTTTTTTTCAATACATAAATTTGACTAAAGTTATATTAAAACACAGAAACATTTTTGAAACAAAAAGTTATCATACAAAAATCATTGAAAATTGTACAAGTGCATTGGTACAATGATTCAAATTAAAAAGATGAATTTGAACATTATTTTATAATTTAAAAATTACCGTAATCTAAATATTAAAAGTTTCTGAAAATTGTCTCACTCATACGACTCGATGAGTGATGAGTGAGCGTGTGAGTGTTATCGTGAGTGTGGAGTGTAGCGAGTGTCTCAGATCATGACGGCCACGGTGGAGACCATCACCGAGCAGCTGGACATGGCCGGCGTGCTGCCGCCGCAGGAGCCGCCGCCCGCCGCCACCGCGCTGGCCGTCACGCTCACCGACACCGACGTGGCCACCGCCACGGCCAACGTGAGACACCATCCTATATACACTACTACGGTCCATCTATATATATATAAATGAATTGCTGTTCGTTGGTATCCCTAAAACTCGAGAACGGCTGAACGGATTTATCTTATCTCAGTTTTGAAACGTTCGTGGGCGTTCAGGGTAGGTTTAAAAGCTGAAAAAAAATATTCATTTCTGGGAAAACACTAAAAACAGACTTTTTCTATTTCCCATACAAACGATCTTTTGACATTAGATTTGACAACTAACTAATATGTCAATCATTCTGTTCGATTGAAACAGGAAAAACCTGATTATTTATGGCCTCTAAGACGGAATAGAGTTCACCCGGTCAGCTATGATATATTACTAATGACGAAATTAACGCGGACGAAGTTGAGGGCAAAAACTAGTACATCAATATAATTATCGACTATTTAGAGTATTTACACACCACTGATAAAGGAAAACATCTTGAGGAAACCTGAACTTAAAAGTACAAATTACATATAAGTTGGAAATAACTAACCCGTCTTAAACGAGTGTAGTGATTAATATAGAGGCCTATGCTCATGTGGGCTCTAATAAGCTGATGTTGACTATAGAGCTAAAGAAACATCTCTAATACAGATAAACATCTAAAATAGGAGTTACCATGCAAACAGAATAATTAGAATTTATTAATAGTAACTTTAGTCATACATGCTGAAATAAATTCTCTTTCAACTCAGTTCAGAATTGAAAGATAAACATAAAAGTAAAATCTTTTCTTTGTTGTGAATGTATTTCTTACACGTGTATATAACTAATATAATGTTATGTTGTATTAAGATCTCGACTCCCAACCTCTTGGGTGAAAATGAAGGCGAATCTGTTGAGGATGACATGGCCAACTTCTGGCCAACGTCGGCTGGCAAATTCCACTTTTGCATCGAAGAACTGCCCCAGGAACTGCAGTACATACATCAATTACTACAGGTACCCTAATTATTTAATTCACACAATTATATACTAAACAACATTCCAATACATTCAAATATGTTGGGTATGTATATCTAATTGTGAAAAAATACTGATGTAACATTTTGTTTCATATTTAATTTTTAAATCACTGCAAAACAGCAAATAAAGTGTTTGTAAAAAGTCCTGACATCTATACTAATATTATAAAGCTGAAGAGTTTGTTTGTTTGTTTGTTTGTTTGTTTGTTTGTTTGAAAGCGCTAGTCTCCGAAACTACTGGTTAGAATTGCATAATTCTTTTTGTATTGGGTAGTCCAGTTATCGAGGAAGGCTGTGGGCTATATAACATTACGCTACGACCAATAGGAACAAAGATATGGTGGTAAATGTGTAAAAAACGGGAGAAATTATTTCATCTTTGAAGCCTTCCGTTGCGTGCGCCGTGAAAACGGTTCAAGATACACAAAAAATATGTATTAAAGAATAATAGCTCTTTTAATTATCTAAAAAACAGTCCAGGACAGTATATGTCTATCTTTTAAGATTACATCACAAAAATCGTTTTTATGGTACCTAATTTGGTCGAAATAATTTGTTTAAGTTGTATCAACATAATAATATTAATCTTTATTCAAATAAACAAATAAATATGTTGTTGGTCAAGAGTACTTCATTGTGAATAAAAAAAACATAGGTTTTATCCTGAAAATTCTACGGGAACTCGGCCATTCCGAAAACCCCACAAGAACGGAACTATGTGGGAAGGACCAAAAATCTGCCTGAAGTCACTATTCCACGCGGACGGAGTCGCGGCAAAAGCTAGTATTATATATGCGGTCAGACATAAAAAATATTCAAATTCTTTCTAAGTAATATGACCTAAGTATTGCAAACTTTAATTAACCACCTTTATCATAGCTATTTTTGTGCTTAATGTATGAATCTCCGTAGTTCAAGTAATATTTGGTTTTCATCAGGAACTAAAGAACACCAAACGGCCGGATGTATTGTATCACCTCCTGCAGTGTCTTCAAGTGTTGGTTCTCAACACAGATGCTCTAGCAGAACACAAGGGTTTCCTCATATGGTGCCAAGAAAACCTTCTCATTGAAAAGTAAGTAACAAAAATATTAAAGATTAGCTTCTTTTAGTTCAGTGACTCAATAACGCTGTATGTTCTCCCTGCTTCTGATAGTATTCTCTCAGCAGGACGTTGGGAGTAGTGACAATTAGTCACAGAATTATGAGACGAAACTTACTAAAGATATGTTCAAGAGAAAATTGACAGAGACAATTTGCTATCACTTCAATGTAACTCACATGTTCACTTACTAAGTTGTAGACTTTTCCGCTGGTCTGTAAGTGTCAGTGTGATCCGGTTCAATATGGGCGTGCAGTTTTGATATACAGGGTGACTGGTGAATTACTATCAATATTTAAGAAGAATACTCGGTACATGATTCTCATTCGAATTATGTAAAAAAAAATAGGTACTTAATTTTTGACCAAATTTCCGTATAAATAAATAAAGTATGGACACGTTCCAAGTGTTCTAAGTGAGGACGCGTGCGGCGGCGTGCTGATACAACACCACGCCGCCGCACGCGCGTGTGTGTTAGTGTGTGTGTGTATACCTAATCTGTAGGGTGTTCACACGATGCGTAATTAATTACATAACTTTTGGTTAACTTTACTTAGAAGTTTATTAATATTTATGTTATATTAATTTTTATTTTGCCATATATGTATGATCGTCAAATATCACGTCCTCAAGTATCGATAGTAATTCACCAGTCACCCTGTATATATTCATTACCACAGCTAATAACTGAGTACAATCCATTAAAAAGCAATGTAATAATTAACTCCTTTATCCTGTCTTCTTCCAGTCTATGGAACGTGTGCGAGGCGGCCCAGTCTCACATCAGCGCGGTGGCTGCCCGCGTGCTGCTGCACTGCGTCACGCTGTCCGGGGGCGCGGACGTGCTGTGCGGCCTGGTGCGAGACGCCTTCCATCACCACGACCCTCACGTGAGGTTCACGGCTGTTGATAGAGTCACTGTACTTATACGGTGAGGATATTAATAACAAAATTTGCGTCATATTTTCAAGTATAGCTAGCTCTTATATAACTTTTACCATTATATACAATATATAGCTAGCTCTTATTTAAATTTTATTATTTCAAAGATAGCTCTATTTATAATATCAAAGATAGCTCTTGTTTAAATTTTACCATTATATACAACGTATAGCCAGCTCTTATTTAAATGTTATTATTTCAAAGATAGCTTTATTTATTATATCAAAGATAGCTCTTATTTAAATTTTACCATAGTATAAAACATCCATCTAAAAAATCACATCTTAGTATAGAATTAAGGGGCATTCTAAGTAAATGTGAATTAAAATATGGCTTGAAACCCCTTATCAAGTGGCATCCACAGAGACTTGAGATTAATATGGTTTGCATAATTTAAATTATTTAAGAAACATTATAAGCACATGGATAAGTAACAACAGATATGTATAATTTTCATAATTTGTTGATAAAGTCTTTTTATAAAACAATATAGGTTTATCTGTTTATGTATTCGTTATGCAGTGTTTATTTGCTTGAATATATTGCACTAAGCTGGGTTCACACTTAGCACGATCCTTAAAATATGACCTAATAAGTTATAATATATATCAAACACATATAATATATATAATTTTTTGCCTTACATTATCTGTCGTGTCAGTTTCATCGACGGGTCGCCGGTGAAGGCCAGCCTGCCGCTCCAGACGGCGCTGGCCACAGCCTTCTGTTACCTCATCTCCAGTATGGACGACATCAACGTGTACGTCGCGCAGAGGGCCACGCTGTTCATCGGCACCATACACGACACTGCCATCGAGGTGATCATACGGATCGTTATATATATTATAAACTATATCATATAAAAAAGTCGTTTTTATTATCCTACTAGCATTCTTATTATCCGAAAAATAAATAATATGACACGTACACGTCTTTCGTTTACCAGAGCACGTGGCTTTCTAGTGACGTTTCTATTGTTGTTATAATATTTAGGTGATAATTTGTAGTATTAATGTTTTCGTTTTTATATTTTTATTTATTTAACTATCGTAATAACACTTTTTATAAACTTGTTCACCGCTACATCAGTCAGTGTCAAAGTGGGGTACCATTGAAAATCAGCATAAGGTGTTAACCTTTTACGCTGAATGGTATACCTTTTTGGGACACGTCATATGTATTTTAATGTTTTTTTTTTGTTTTTTTTTTGTTGTAGGTATATTATTATTAATTAGTCATAAGTAGGGCCCGGATTAATATGTAAATACATATTTTTAATTTACGCGATTTTCGGTCTAGAATGTGTTTTTTTACATGAATGGTCATATTTAGACTGTGAAAAACCAACTTTTATTTTCCATATTTTACCATATTTCAAAGATAAGTCCATATTTTACAAGAAAATGTCACAATCATCCATATATTCACAAAAATACATAAAATTTATATTCCCGCCACTAACGTTTTTAATAAAAATAAAGGTTTTATTACGCTAAAAAAAACTAACTAAATTCTGTGCGAAAGTTTCGAGGGGTGTAGACATGGCTTACACAATTACTGAATTAAGCATGTTTAACTATGCACCCATCACGTCATGTGACGTGGAGAGATCATTCAGCAGATATAAGGCTATATTTCAACCAAATGGTCAGTTTTCATTTTGATAATTTAAAGAAGCACGTCATTGTGTATTGCAACCAATTTGATAAGGCTAGTGTAATGGAAGTTGAATACAACTGTTATTTTTTGTTGAAATAATGTTTCGCTATTTTTTTTCATCTCTTTTTAAAAGTAACTTAACCATGAACGTCACGAGTGACCCTTTTCTTATAGTAAAACAATGTTTAATTATGAAAGTATTTTATTTTATACTCCATATTTTTTCCATATTTTTGATTTTTTCGTCCATATTTTATGCATATATTTTAGATTTTTTAATACATATTTATCCGGGCCCTAGTCATAAGTTTTATTTTATTCTTTATTCCGATGTTTATTTTTTTATTTGTAATTTTCTTTGTTTTTTCGTATACCTAACTACGTGTCTCAAATAAAAACTTTCTTTCTTTCTTATCTTTTGTTTAGATACGGGCCCCTTAAACCTACACTTGGGTCGCAAGTCCCAGGCACTGTTTTATCTCCTCTCCTTGTAATTATGGACCCAGCATCCGTATGATAAATCCATTGAATACTAAGAGGTTTATTCTCGTCTCTTTCAGTTGCTCCTATATTGCTTGGAGAGCCAGTTCGACCTGGTAGCTGTAGACCGGCCGATGGTGCTACAGTCCGTGTATCAGCTACACAACACGCTCAGCGACAGGAAGATCCTCACGTGGGAGTTCTTCCTCAACAGGTTCGAGGCCTTGTACTTGGACGCACAGTGCGCTAAAAGCGGTGACTACTCCACACTCAGAGGTACTATTATTATCATCACTCAAACTCAAATAACTTTCAATATAGAAGCATTACACTTTCTTATTTATGGTCACTTGAGACACTACCACCGGTTCGGAAAAGAAAATATCCTGACCTAAGAAGAACAGGCGAAATAATAATCACTAATACAATATTTGAGCATTTCACGACTATTCAGAATATCATCCACATTCCTGGATCAAGTAAACCCAAAACTTCTGATATACGTACGGTCTTATGACGTCAAGAGTGGATATAATAATTGTTGATTTACTATTCCACTCTTAATATAAAAAACATAGATTTACATTCTAAACCATATTGCAATACATTCAAATATGTTTGGTATATGAATCTTAATGTGATTAAAAAATCTGATATAGCATTTCGTTTTATCCTTAAATCACTCAAAATATAGCAAATAAGGTTACTATAAAAGTTCTAATATATTATAGACTAGAAGACCCGGCGAATTTCGTATAATACATATAATCCTATAATCAAGAAATATCTGTTACGTTTTTTTAATTATATTTTTGTAGTTTACCTATTAAAGCCATAAATCTTCGTGTTTTGAAGTGCGACCGAATGATTGACATATTAGTTAGTTGTCAAATCTAATGTAAAAAAAACGTTTATATCAACAACTAATAATAAATTAAAAATTAATTAAAAAAACATTGTCCAGCGGACAAAATTTCGAATCTAAACCATTCCCAGATCCCCTTGAACACACACAAAAAATTTCATCAAAATCGGTCCAGTCGTTTGAGAGAAGTTAATAAAAAAATACATACTCACAGAAGAATTATATATATAAAGATAAAGATATGGTCAGATGGTTCAAAATATTCAACTCTGCCAGGCGACTCTTCCCGCTCCCCGCGTCATGAGCCGTGCGCCGCCCGCTCGTTGGCCGCGTCCTTCGGAGCCAAGTGGCCCTACAAGAGGACAGTATCCGCGCCCGCTGCTGTGTCCACCAACGTCGCTCCACCCACACATCACCACGCACCAGCCATTGGTATCGATAATAATAATCTATAATAACGTATCTCGAAATTATACTTTAGTCCATCAACATGATATAAATGTGAAATTTCTTTAAGGTGACCTTCGTTACTTATAGTTTAAGAATGTGTTTAGATTGCAATACGTCATAGATAAAATATTTCATAAACATGTTCTAATAAAGCATCAATATTAATTCAGATTATTAACTTGTCCTTCGTACAAGTGAAACTACATTTTTGAAGTCATGGAAAACTTTTATAAGACCCGGCGAACTTCGTATCGCCCTATAATCAAGAAATATCTGTGACGTTTTTTTATTTATATTTTTGGAGTTTACCTATTAACGCCATAAATCTTCGTGTTTTGAAGTGCGACAGAATGATTGACATATTAGTTAGTTGTCAAATCTAATGTCAAAAAAAAAACGTTTGTATCAACAACTACTAATAAATTAAAAATTAATTAAAAAAACATTTGCCAGCGGACAAAATTGTGAATCTAAATAATTCCCAGATCCCCTTGAACACACACAAAAAATTTCATCAAAATCTGTCCAGTCGTTTGAGAGAAGTTCAGTGACTTACACACTCACAGAAGAATTATATATATAAAGATAACTTCTTGTATCAGATCGTGAGAAGGTATATTCCCGTCAGTACTCGGCGCCTCTCCTCAAACGCAAGACTTCTCGTTTCGGTCTGGGGCTCGGTCAACTCTTGACACAGCCGCCGGCTAGAGGAAACAACGGTCAGTCATATGTTCTCAATCATGGTCATGGGTCATATATTGCTAAATATCCATATATTGCTAAGTGTCTATATCATATCGTAGAGTCATCTAGCGGCGTGTGTGGTCGTTCGGAGTCAGTTCCTCGCGCCGAGCTGGAGGACGCGGACAGAGAGACCACCAACCTGTTAGTGTTCCTACTCATGCAGTTCCTCTCAAGGTATACGAACAAACAGACAAGTTACAAACTTTTATAATATTTATAAACAAATCTCATTGAAATATCCCTTATTTTGATCGTTATTAAACCTTATATAAATGAAACTAATATTTTCGGATTGTTACTTCGCGTTTTTATTTTTGATTATGATCTACATACTACCGACGAGAATCTCGTCTGCCCGTGATCACGGTTGCTGAAAAGTAGCCGAAACGTCGGGAGTGTGTAGTTCATAATCAAAAATAAAAACGCGAAGTAAAAATCCGAAAATATTAGTTTCATTTAAATGTGTACTCCCGAAAATCTTAGATCTCATTATGTAAACCTTATATAGTTTAATTTTGCGTCCACATAAGAAGATCCATATCTTTGTAACTCTACTACTCAGTTCATACTACATATATATCAGTAGTCAGTAGTATCAATGAATGATTTTCCAGATCCGACCAAGCTCACCCCACCGAGGACAAATCCTGTCTTAAGACCCAGGAGCTAGTACTCAAGCACCTGTTCCTGTTGATGGGTTACAACCCCGCTGAGAAGTTCTTTAATATATCGCCGCATACGTTGAGGTACACATTCACATTGATTTCAACATATACAGATGCGGATTATTAAGTGTCTTTAAGATTTCAGTAAGTGCTATCGTAGTTTAGTTCACTCTAAGGTATTTTATCAACAACGGCATACACCATCCAAATAAGATTTGATGTGGTATATATTATTTTAGAATAAAATTTGAACGATCCAAAATAAACGAAAGACCATTGCTGTAAAGTAGTCGAGACGCCGAGAGTGGTTGACATTTCGTAATTGTTATAATTTCTTTCCTTTTGCACTATGCTTTTCATACAAATTTATTTTCTCTCAAACTCTTGTCTAGTAGAGTATATAACTAGTTACATTATATATCTCTAATATTACTATCCCGCATACGTTCCAGGATGTCTTCAATCTTCAACGCGTTCATGTCCAACCTGCCGCAAGTGTTGGATCAGAACCACGTGATGGGAGCCAGCATCGCCGAGCCCACGCTCATGTTGTTACAGGTATGTAATAAACATATAAAAATACTATATTCCGAGTGTTAAGTCTTTTTTAAATATATAAACAAATTATTACTTCGAACATAGTGTAGTACTCGATCTATTTAAATTTTGAGTCAGTCGCAAATAAACATCGTATTTGTGAACACATATCGTGGTTTTCTTTAAAAACATAATCGTCCTGCAAGCTCATATCAATCAAAACACCGAGTTATCGTAAAAATTTCAAGAATGTTACTCAAGTTTATTAAGTTAAGTGTTTTTTCGTTATGTTTGATATCCGTCATACATGCAGTCTTGATTTTAGTGTTAGTCAAAATTATAACATGTTTATTGCGGTTCAGAGATTGTAACTTCAACTTATAACATTGTTTTTTTATAAGTATGTTTCTATAGATTGGTACGCCCGCAGCTTCGCCCAGTGGAGTTCTGTTATATCGCGTTTCCAAGAGAACCTTTTAAAAGTCTGGGATAAAAACTATCCTATGTTCTTTCTCAAGGTCAACTCTATCTCTGTACCAAATTTCATTAAAATCAGTACAGAGGTTTAGTCGTGAAAGCGAAACAGACAGACAGACAGAGCTATTTTCGCATTTATAATATAAGTAGGGATAGGACTTTTTAATCACTTCCTAGGACACTTTTCTATACTAACTTATTCTTATAATGAGATATAGGATTTTTGCGAGTTTTCATTTAAATGAAACTAATATTATAGGATTTCGGATCGGAAAACCGCGTAGTAAATTCGAAAATATTAGTTTAATTTAACTTATTCCTTATCCTCCTCTATATAGTAATTACTCTATACCCTCTCTACAGCACTGTAGTCGCCCCGCTGCGAATTGGTCCGGAGCGCCTCACTCGCTGGCTTCCCTCACTCCTCACGTGCGCAGACACTGGCTGATGGCGCTACTGGTCGTACTATATAAGGTAGCAAACACTATGTACTATCTATTATTCACTTTATACTATTGTATTATCATACATAGTCCCAACCTTGCCTAAGTACATAATATATGTATAACAGTGCAAACATTGAATATATAAATTGAGTTTTTGATATTAAAGCAATTTTAAGCTTAGTTGGGTAATAATTTAAAGAGAAAATCTTACACGGAAAGTTCATCGACCGGACCAGGATTTGAAGTTGCGACTTAGGAACGTCGCGTTCCAATTACTGTAACAATTGATCTGTCATGTCCTGACTCGAGACAAATAACTAAGAATTCTATATATTTAACCATCGTATCTAGGTCTAGTGTGGTTAATTACTGGGTTTGAAAAGAAACGTGTTTGTAGCTTTAAGTCACATTTAATAATAATAGAAGATTTTAACATAGCATAATGAAAGCTTGGGCCAAGGGGTTGTCCATCATATTTGGATGTATACATGAGATGTTTTATAAAGGAGACTTTACACTACACTTAATTCTATAATAATATAGCATACACACTATATTTATTACACTTCACAGGTGGTGGGGCCATCTATTATGTCACTATTACAATATATCAAATTATTGTCTATTATTGAACTACAAATATTAATATTAGATGATATATTCCGTCAGTATTACATCACACATGTATTGTTTCAGTACCACTACAGCAGCGGTCCTCTGTGTTCGTTGTGCGGCTCGCTAGTCAGATGTGTGCTGCACTCGCTACAGGCGCAGCATCACCAGTGCCGCCGGATACCGCCCGTGCTGCTATTACCGAACGCTCAGAGAGGTCCTAACATACATGAAACCACATATACATACATACATTTTTAATGGAAACTAGTTTGCATAAATCCACAATATATATTTTGTCAAACAAACCCAAAAAATGAATTATTTAATTTTAATTTATACCTATATAAAGTCAAACTACATATTTGTGTTTTTAATTTTAAATTTTTTATATGCATGTTTGTTTTTTATGGTATTTAATTTTTATCAATTTTAACTTTTTTTTTAAATCTTTCTACTCCAGTCGCTATAATTGTGTTAATGTATTTTTAAAACAAATATTGTAATTGTTGTGGCTACTTTAATAAGCTTTACAGGTTACCTATTTTCATTTAATGGTTTATCATTTAAACATGTAGTAGCTATTAGTGGTCCTTAAATAAATAAAATAAAAATAATATTATAAATTCGGAGCTTACGTTTAAATCGATGGTTTTTATATTTTTATCTCTAAATTAAATATAAAATTAAATAGTTATTTTCATATTTAATTTAAAATACATACTACTTAAATAGGTTATGTTAATGCAGGAATGTTTAATTACACAATAATATTATTTATACAATAATAACTCATCCAAATATTTATAATAAGGTTCAATGTCCTATATCCATTAGAGGCGGGAGGCACTTCATCATCAGGCGGAGTCAGCGTCCCTCTCACAGAAGACACGCCTCACAAGTCACCGGGACACTGGACAGAGAACAATGAACCGCCCAAGTTAGTTTTTCATTGCTAACATAATATATTAATTAAATTTAATTGAAATTGAAATGTAGTGATATTTGATATTAATTATACACATGTTTATTAAGCTATCATGGCATGATGAAAATGTTAACTACAGTATAACATGTAACGACACGAAGGCTATTTGTGATACGTGCTCTAAATAAAATTCCAAAAAGAACATATAGAATTAAGTACACGAACAGGATTCCAATCTAAACCCGTTTGATTCATGTTCCAATAGTTTAAGTCATAAGTAACATTATATTGTTTAACTGTCTAGTATGAATAGTGTTAATGCTAAAGTATTTTTATATCGTATTCCAGATACCAGCAGCAGTGGAGCGTGGAGCAGGAGTCTTCGGAGAGTGAACTCATCGCCATACCAGAGACAAGTGACAAGTCCGACACCACGCTACATGGCAGCACCGCGCCTGTGAGGGAAAACACACGCACACACACACACACACACACATACACACAGAAAGGAATAGACGTACACATCCACAGTCCTATATCCTGAAAATGTTTCACATTGAAATTATTTCCACGACAATCGAAAGTGATCGACTATAAAGTAGCAAAGTAAATGTTCTTTTTGTTTAATACTGGATAACGCTTTAGTTCCATTCGACTTTAAGTGCAGATAAAGCCGTAGGTTAAAACCAGTAGAAATCTATTCAACCTTGTTCTTACTTGTAATACTCTCTAACGTTTGTATACCTGTGTAATCCACTACATACATGTCTTCTACTCCAGGGTTCGTTCGACGAGCCTTCCCACTACGAGGAGGCGCCGCACGTGCTCAGCGGACCGACGCACTCCAAACTTGTATGATATATTAATATTATTTACAATATATTGACGATCTCCACTTCATTACTTCATCTATTCAACTAAATCGATTGTTTTCAAATCTTCGATCCTACTCTGGGAAATCTGCTACATAAGCAAGATTTTGACGAATACATTCATACTATGAGAGATATTATAATTGTCCAATAATTCCTAAACAGTTTAATTAATTTATACAGTAGTTATGTTTAAACTTTCGCAGCCTCCCGTCGGGTGTCGTTCCGGTCAGCAGTTATCGACCAGCTCGTCCGTCTCCATAGGCAGTGATTCATCAAATATGTAAGACATTTTAAATATAATTACTTCTTCTACCTGGCAATTTCTCAGCTTTAGCCAGGGTCTGCCTTACATGTTGTGAATAGTTTTGGCTAATTGTTTTTACGACCGGCCGCCTGCCTGACATCAACCCTCTTTGGGAATGCATTAATCAGTGATATCTAAATACTTTTAGAAAGTACATATGACTCGGTAAAATCACATTGGTACTTGCCAGGATCGAACCAGCGCCCTCATGCATGAGTGGCGGGCCATTTAACCACTAGGCCACCACTGACTTTTTAATTATGATAATTACTAAGTATAAACACTCAAAATGAAATAAAATTCTGCAAAAGATTGATATTCTGGAACATAACGATCATCCTATTCAATGATATATTGTTGAAACTCCTCTAAAGTAGTTGTTCATTATAAAAGCCTGTGTATTTTGTTTCACTATAGGAAGTCAACTCCAATGAGCGGTCAATCAGTGGAGCTGTGGCCGGAGCGCGCACTCTCACCCAGGAATAAACTAGCCGGCTGTCAGAAACGAGTCGTTGGTGGGTATATATTTATATTATAAATCTAAATTATAGTTATTTTAATATATATTAGATGGATAAGCTCTCAGGGGTCAAAGAATTCATATGTTAGCTGGTAATATGAAAAAAATATTAAAAATAAAATATTACTTATAAATACTCAAAATTGCTTAGTTTAGATAGTTTACTTATGTTCTCATCTTTATTTTAATTTATTATTATTACATAATAGTTTTTAATTAGCTTTTTCTACTTTCTGTTTGTTGTCGCTTAACTTTTATTTTGTGCATGCTGTTATCACTTATAACTTATAAGTAAGATACCACTATTCTTATTTTTTATTCATGTATCTGGAATGTTTTTAGTGTGTATTTTGTTGGTGATCTATAAATAAAAATAAATTTACAAGTTAATATAATAGGTTTTCCTACTTCCAGCTGGTAGTAGTACATCTCCAGAGACAGCGGCCTCGTCCAATGGAGACGCTCTAACGTCTGGACCCCCTGCGGGTCTAATCGGTCCCCCACCACATGTACATGCACATCTACGTAGCCCCGGTATAAATAATAATAATAATAATAATAATAATAAATAATCTTTATTCACAAAAAAAGTTACAAAGTATAATGAAGTCCCTGATTTCTGAGCTAGGCTTAAAGACCTGTATTACAGAAATCAGTGTCCTCTCTCATATTTTAGTGTCATATCGTTCTATGTAAATAAAAATAAATGATAAATAATTATTTTTTAATGTATACTAGAGTAGAGTGTGTGTGTGTATGTGTGTGTGTGTGTGTGTGATGATAAATTAAGCCTATATATAGATTATATATTTAATAAGTACTAATCACCCAGTTTAAAATGAAATAAACATACTTTGGAACAAAAATAAAATGTTTGTGTAATATGTACGACGATTTGGACCTATTTTCAGAAGTTGATAACAGATGGCAGTGTTGAATTTCAAATATTTTTTATGTTATATAATTTTAAAATAATTATTGGCAAAATATTCCGCAGGTTAAATTTGTTAACATAACCAATGAAATAAAAAAAACAGTAAATGAGACACCACTACTCATTCACGTGCTAATGGTAATCATCCCTTAAATTAATGTTCATAATATCTTTACAAGACACCTCAACGCTTGTAATAAGTACCCCAGGGTTTAGCAAATGAAACACTCTGTTGGTCCATATCATAATTATATTTTATTAACTTATACAATATTCCACAGGTTAGATTTGTTAACATAACCAATGAAATAAAAAACAGTAAATGAGACACCGGATGCATGAAATTTATTTATTAACAAAATATTACTATACTCTTATTAATCTTATTCGTTGTATGTAATTTAGTACCTTAAGTTAGTAATAGAGGGCAGCAGTAACAAAAATATAACAAGTTAAATTCTCAAAGCAATACATATAAGCTAAATTAATAAAATATAATCAAGATCTTTTCAAACAGAGTGTTTCATTTGCTAAATGCTGGGGTACAGTTACTTATTACAAGCGAGGAAGTGTCTTGTAAAATCCCTTAAATTAATGTTTATATCCACAGGTGTCGCATACGCGTCCCCCGAGTCTCCCTTGTCCAAGATGGAGCTAGCGTGGGGTGCCCCGCCCCACTCTCCGCTGGCGCCCCTCCCCTCGCAGCCGCCGACCTTCCACATCCCCCCTCCGGCGCCTGAACGTCTGCTGCCCATCGGACCTAAACCCAACAAGGAACAGTATCCAGTGTTCAACGCGCTGGTCGACAGGGTGCGGGAAGCTCTGAATATACCTGGTATGTTGTATCCAGATTTTAGATAAATTGATAGGTCCATCCCCTTTTGTATTTCTCATTTTGATGTCATATATCTAAGAAAACAGAAATTGCAACTCTTTTTAATATATATTATAATACAAACTATACCCAGCCACATTCGATCTGGAATTTTAGTAAACAAACCATGAGTCATCATAATTAGGGTTGATACACTCTTAATAAAAAATAATTGTTATTATAATTACAACTATATTCATTATAATATTTCCTGTTCAAACACAAAAAAATTAATTTAATATAGAATCCAAAATTTTTATTTAGCCGGTCAATACATAATTTATATGAAAATTAGTTTAAAATAAAAGTTTAAAAATCTTTAATTACCATTATAATATTACTACAAAACTAACAACCTTATATTTTAATACTGACGTAAAGAAATCGGAGGTTTGTAACATTTGGAGTGTTTTTTAAGCAATTGGCAGATTAAGAAGGTATATAATAGCGATACAGGCTCTTCATAATTGGTGGTATATATTTTTAGTCGTATTATAATGGTAGTATAACCACAACAGGTTAAGAATGTTAACATACACACAACGTTTCATTACACACAGATTAAAAAAAGACATCTTGTTTTGGCTAGCATAAATATACTTTATACTGTACTGTATACTGTAATCACTATTTCAACCATATATATTTATAATTTCTTCAGATATTTCAGATAAAAGCAATAAATTTTATTGCGGTTACATTTTAATTAATTTAAAAAATATTTTTTTAACGCAAATAAAGTTAAACGAAACGTAACTACGTAATTTTGTTGCATTATACGCTAGCCATAATGTTGGTTTTATTTTGTTGTTAGCTTTGCTTACAATTCGCGAGTGTTTGATTCTGATGTTCTTCCGTTCTGTTTTAATTGTTAGATTTTGTTGTCGTTATTTTGTTTTAATTCGTTATTCAGTTATAAGTTTTTTGTTATCAAATATTGTTTATATTAGATTACGATGAGTAATACTGAATAACCTGGCCCGAGTGGGATTGTATCTGTAGCGAAATTCAAATATACACAAAATTTAATTTAAATGAGTCCTGTCGTTTGGGAGGTGATGTATAAAGTTAATAAAGCGAATTATCTATATAACTACGAGGTAATTTCTGATATAATTTTAAAATTGGAGGTATTATTTTTGAGATCTACATTATTCCAGATGATCATAAGTATTATAATTATAACCAAGAATTAGTTCTTTGTCTTAAATATTTTATTATCAATCATCAATTTTAATTTTCATTAACATCAAAAATAATTGTTGTACATTTTTCTAAAAATGTTTTGAGTATCTGCCTGAGTATAGTTTATCAATCTTGTGTATTAACTTGAACCAATATTCAACTTCTACTCATGTAACATGGCAGTGTCATCTCAGAAAATCTCTTTGAAATATGTTTTCGTACTAGAATTGATGTAGAATACGACTTGAACATGAACAGACGTTTTTTCAGACGATTCTACGGAGCGGACGGACTCGAGCGACCCCGAGCCGCCTCGCCCGCGGACCAGACCACATCACCTCACACACACAACCTCCGCGGACAACGCCAGGTAACAACACATACTACCTACACTATCATACACTCACTACCAACACAAATATCCTAATAGATGTTTTACCAAGGTCTCCCCGTCGTTTGGCCCGCCAAGTGGCCCAGCTCGGCTCTCCGCCGCAGACCGAGCCGCCGCAGTCCCCGCACGCTCACGCGCACTCACAGTCGTCACAACACAGTCGACAACAACACGAATGGGGCCAGGGCTGGTGGGGTGGCGGGCGGCGGGCTGCACGGCGAGCTGCGCACGCGCACGCTCACGCCGCCCACCCGCCGCGACCGGACCACACGCTGCGGTACCGCTGCGGCGAGTGTGGCGGCGCGGTTGAGCAGTACAGCGACGAGGAGCTCGGGCTGTGCGTGATCGTGCTGGCCACGTATGTGCGCCGCTCGCCGGGCGCCGCGGCCGCCATGCTGCCCGCGCTGCTGCAGGCCGTAGCGCGCGTGGTGCAGCTGGCCGGCTACTCGTGGCAGGCGGAGGGAGGTGCTCGGTTACCAGGCGGCGCGGTGCTGGTGGCGCACCAGTTCCTGCGCACCGTGCTGCATCAGCTCGCGCCTCACAACGTGTTCGTGCAGCTGTTCCTGCAGCGCACCCCGGAGAAGCAGCGGCTGATGTTCTTCAAGAGCGTGGCGCAGGCGTTCGTGGACTTCAACGAGCTGTATCCGTGCGGCCCGCTGCAGCTGTTGGTCGAGCATCTCAACTCTAAGAAGACGCTGCCGATGGATGTGAGCTATAGATCGAATAGTTTCGTCCGTCATACACTACGAAACCTTCATTATAACGATTATGCTTAATAATTATGATGCTTTATTAAAACATTACAATATGATAACGCTTAAAAATCATAGACATATGCTGGACTTATACTTTTTACACAAAATAATATCAGATAAAATTGATTGTCCCCAATTACTAAAAGAATTTAATATATGTAGTAGTACCAGACCTAACGCGAGGCATAAAAATACACCAACTTTCAAATGTCGGTTTGCAAGAACAAATTTAGGAATAAAGGCACCCTTAAATAGGGCTTTTAGAAGTTATAATAATATTTCTAAAAAAGTGGGTATTGATATATACATATATAACGATAATTTAAAATCTTATAAAACAAAAATAAAAAATAACTTTAAACTTTTATACGCAACTGTTCTCTCAAACGACAGGACCGATTTTGATGAAATTTTTTGTGTGTGTTCAAGGGATCTGGGAATGGTTTAGATTCACAATTTTGTTCGCTGGACAATGTTTTTTAATTAATTTTTAATTTATTAGTAGTTGTTGATACATTTTTTTTTACATTAGATTTGACAACTAACTAATATGTCAATCATTCTGTCGCACTTCAAAACACGGAGATTTATGGCTTTAATAGGTTAACTCCAAAAATATAAATAAAAAAACGTAACAGATATTTCTTGATTATAGGGCGATACGAAGTTCGGCGGGTCTTCTAGTATATATATATATATATATATATATATTGTAAATGCATGCTGAGTTAGCCTTTAATTGTAGTGTACTTTGTAACATCATTGTACATTATGTTGGCTTCCTAATAAAATAAATAAATAAATAAACGTGTTCGTTGTCCAGCAAATGGGTGTGATCGCGGGCAACATGGCCACGTACCTAGAATGCCTGGCGCCCGAGGCCCTAGGGCCGCTGGCTGCGTGCGGCGCGCTGCTGACCGGCCTCGACACGCTGCTACGGGCCGTGGCGCTGCGCCTGCATCAACTAGACGACGCTGCGCCGCTCTTACGACTGTGTGCCGCCGCGCTTAAGATACCCGCCGCGGCACATCACAAGGTAACAGGACTTAAACATGGAATAATACTGCAATAACTTGTTTAAATACTCATTACTCAAGTTTTTTACTATTCGCAGATGATAAATAATAAGTAGCACATCCGACTGCATTGAATTGCTACGTGACCTTGATAATCTTTCACATTACTACGAAAAAAATAAAATAACGATTGATATTATAAAAACAGTAAAAATAACATTTTCTATGAAGCATAGAAGTATTGAATATAACTATAATATTGATAACAAGCCCATCCAAGAAGTTAAATCAGTGCGTGACCTTGGAATTCAATTAGATTCTAAATTATTGATGGCAGAGCACATAGAACTCATTACTGATAATACATACAAGCTATTAGGCTATATAAAACGAATATGTCAAACTTTTAATAGTATTGAATGCATAAAAATTTTATATTTTACTTATGTACGATGTATTTTAGAATACGGTTGTAGTATATGGTCTCCCAATTATATAACTTACAAAGAAAAACTGAATAGAATACAAAAAATTTCATAAAATTTCTTTGCTTTAAGGACTTTAAAGAATTTAACGATTATGTTAATATATGTAAACAATATAATATTGAAATATTAGAAACGAGACGACGACATTATGATATGTATATGCTACATGCAATAATTACCGGAGATATAGATTGCACTGATTTATTGAGCGCTTTGTATTTAAAAGTTCCTAATCGCCGCACACGTCATTCAGCACTATTCCACACGCCTGAGCTAAACATTAACTATGCACACAGCTCTGTCCTTAATCGCATGGTCAACACATATAATTCACAATACTCAGAAGTTGATCTGTTCAGCATGTCAAAACTAGCTTTTAAAAAAGATAAAAATTCATAATAACACACATACGCACACACCCACACACACATCCAGACACACACACACACAATCATGCAAACACGCACCTATTGGATTCTCACCCGTAAACAATTTACCTTTATATTACTTTTATACTATAAGTTTTAATTTATGCTACCGTCTTCTAGTTATTAATATGTTTAACTTACGTGTGTAAGTAATCCTATTTTGGTTTTAATTTTATGTTATATAATAGTTTTTATAGAAATTTATGTATAAAAACTGTTAGATTACCAAATATAAAAAATAAAATTACCTTCTAATAGGCGTCTTTAAAAAAACAATACGTATTCGTTATATCTGTATCTCAATCGTAAATTTCAGAGTCTCCTAGAGCCGATGTCCAAGCTGTTAAGCTACGCGGTGCAGAACTTCACGGTACGTCTGTCGGTGCTGGGCGAGGTGTGTGCTGGTTGTATCCGCGCCTTCAGCCGCGACCGGGACAAGCTGCTGCTGTGCCGCGTGCTGGTGTACGAGCTGCTGCACGCGCTACGGACCAAGACCACCGTGCCCGACGACAACCTGTTCGTGTTGCTGCAGTTCGTGCTGCAGAGTATGACTCAAATAATATTACACATAAAATGTGAATTACTAGCTACGCCCCGCGGTGTTACCCGCGGATTTTCGGGATGTAAAGTAGTCTATGTATTATTCCTGGACGTCAGCTTCCTGTATACAAAATTTTATCAAAATCGGTTCAGCCGTTTGAGCGTGAAGAAGTAACAAACATACTCACAAACTTTCGCAATTATAATATTAGTAGGATTTTGTATTAACTCTTTTTAATAGAGGAACAATGTGAACAACATTGATAAATGTGTGTTATAGGACAGGATTTCTCGCCGATGATTTAATTAATAGATTGAATATGTGAGTACAATAGCAAATAAGAGTTTCAAATACTCCGAGGTACTATTTATTCCAAAATAAATTTACATTCAGTAAACCACGATTTGTCCCTAACAGTGGTGGATTTGACAGCTTCGACATTTTCCACAGGTTATTAATATTAATTTTAAGAGACTACTAAGATGTCATTTATAAAATTTTTACGTTCCATAATCTTCATATTTCGTGTTAATACAAGGTCATTGTTTTGGTGTTAAGGTTGATATTAGCTTGCAGTACGATTATGTTTTTAAAGAAAAGCACGATATGTGTTCACTAATACGATGTTTATTTGCGACTGACACAAGATTTAAACAGATCGAGTACACTAGGTTCGAAATAATAATTTGTTTATATATTAAAGAAAGACTTAACAGTTATTCAAGTCATATTCCATCCGTTTCTCCTTATAGGTCACGGCTGTACGCTATTGCTACCAGCGCCTCTAGCGGGCGCTCTAGTAGGTGACGCCCGTGAGGTGGGGGGCGCGCCCGCTGACTGTATGCGACCTCATCTACAGGACATGCTGGACCTACTACATGACCCGCACCTCATTAACAAGATTAAGGTAACGAGATTTTTTTATTTTATTTGTAAGTAAGTGAAACAAACAGCATATTTTATATAACATAAAACTTATAAACCTTAAATAACCCACATGCCAATACAGTTTCCACAAAAAATTTATCTGGAAGTGAACATATATATACAGGATGACTGGTGAATTACTATCGATACTTGAGGACGTGATATTTGACGATCATATTATATGACAAAATAAAAATTAATTTAACATAAATATTAATAAACTTCTAAGTAAAGTTAACCAAAAGTTATGTAATTAATTACGCATCGTGTGAACACCCTACAGATTAGGTATACACACACACAACACACGCGCGTGCGGCGACGTGGTGTTGTATCAGCACGCCGCCGCACGCGTCCACACTTGGAACATTTGGAACGTGTCCACACTTTATTTATTTATACGGAAATTTGGTCAAAAATTAAGTACCTATTTTTTTTTTAGATAATTCGAATGAGAATCATGTACCGAGTATTCTCCTTAAATATTGATAGTAATTCACCAGTCACCCTGTATAATAGATAAAACAGTAAAATTAAATGTATGGTAGTAAAAAAAAACTAACAAGATATAATACTCACGCTACTATACTTTAAAAAAAACTAATACTTTCCTAGTACTACGCGTTTTTTGTCGAAATCGTGATTGCGGTTGCTGTCAAGTAACAGAACTATAAATACCGTAAGATAAATCCGAAAATATTAGTTTTATTTAAGGTACAAAAAGAATATTTTAAGAATAATTGTGAACATAATAATAACTGTTGTTTAAGAAATTTTATTGTTTCATAAAGAATATTACATATTCACTTAAATGAAACTTAAAACTAATTTACAAAACTGTTTACATAAATGTTTACATTTTTGAGCGTACGAAACTAGGTTCTTAAATCTTATTATACAAATAAATAACATGTAAATGCGTCAAATTATAAGAATTTATTATTAATTTAAAGATAATTTACAATAGCCCTTGCAATACTTGCATATAATGAGATCTAAGATTTTCGCGAGTACACATTTAAATGAAACTAATATTATCGGATTTTACTTCGCGTTTTATTTTTGATTAGAAACTACTTACTCCCGACGTTACGGCTACTTTTCAGCAACCGTGATCACGGGCAGACGAGATGTGAGTGTCTGTCAGTTGGTCTGGTCATTTTATCTCCTACCGCTATCGATTTCTTAATTGTCTTGCGTACCGCTCTGGATGCCGGCAAAATGCGCTCACGGTGTCTCGAGGTCCTGCGGTGTGGTCACGGACATGGGATTTTATATTTTATATAGTGATTCTAATCAAAAATAAAACGTGAAGTAAAATCCAAAAATATTAGAGTCATTTAAATACTTGCATATTGTAATCTCGTTCGGTTTATTTAAAGCGGTTTAAAATCAAACATATCTGTTCCAGGGTTCCGTGTCCAAGTCGTTGGTTAACCGCAACCTGATATGTCTGAACGAGGACACGCTGGGAGCGTTGGTGAAGGGAGGAGTAGCACAACACGTGGCCGCGGAACTGGCGCTGGAGCAGGCCAGGAGGGCGGACCGCGCGCCCAGACACGCCCTGCCCTGGCTGGCTGCTCTTCCTGGGTACACACGAACACACACGCTATTAACATTACTTACCGACCTACCAGCTAACCAAAACCTAACTAATTAAATAATAATAATATACTTTATTGTACACCACAATAGCATAGTAATTTAACAATAAAAATGAAATATATACAAAATAAAAGTAGATGCACAATAATATGCATAAATAGCTAACTGGAGCCATTGAATATGTCACTACGTTCGACTACCAGCATTCATCACTATGATAATAATTAACATGACTGACTGAGAGTTTTTCAGCTACAACGCACACATTGAAAGTTATTTCTTACTTTGTTTCATATTAAAGAAAATCAAATAATTTACTACACCAAAATATTTTATCAAAATTGAATTTAAAAAAACCCTGTCAATAGTTACATAATAGTAGATGTTACTATGCTTATAATTTCTAAAACTTTCTTTTCTATGTCCCAAGTAAAACAAGTTCTTTCACTATCGCGAATCCAGTCATGTCTCGAATGTAATAACCTCGCAAATGAAGACTGTTCAGATTCGTGTGGTACCTAATAGAAGAGTATGACCAAGATGTACTATCGTTTGACAAGCCTCATGGTCCTTGTAGTCACAAGTATAGTTCATTAGACTTAAGCTGAGCTTTGCATTTGTGTGAGTGAAAGTAAAAGTAATGTTAGACAAAAAACTTTACAATATAATTTTATTATATTTAAAATAGATACACAACATAAGTGCTATAAAATAAGCAAAACTTGTAAAAGGCCGGATGGAAAAGAACGTGGCATATAAAAATTTGACATCACACCTATACTATCCGTGTGTACTCACACCAATGCAAAGCTCAGCTTAAATCAAAGGCACTATAGCTCGGTTTGTGTTTTTTGGACACATTGTTTTTTGCGCGATGGTTCATATTAGTTTTCAATCCCCAGGAGTTCCCGCGACCTGTCAGAGTGCGTGGGCCGAGTGCGCGTTGTTTCATGGGTGGTGCTGGGCGCGTTATGTAACGCTCGCCACGGTCCGCTGCAGCTGTCCGTGCCGTTAGACGCCACGTGCCCGCTCACGGATCACGTACACTCGATCCTGGCCGCTCACCTGGACTCGCCCACGACCGGAGACGCGCCCATGAGCTCGCTGTGGACCGCCTTCCTCGCCTGCCAGCTGTGGACGCTGTACGCGCAGCGAGCGAACGCTCAGCCCGAGCTGCTGCACTTCTGGTGCAAGCTGGTGCCCACGCTGCTGCAGCTCACACACGCCTCCAAACTGGTCAGCTTCATTAACAATATATATTGTTACACTTATATATACATATATGCAATAGTGGTGAAGTCTATCTGTGTAACTAATCGTTTCAGTTAGCGGAGACGGTGAACCTCCACTTCATAAGCCTGCTGGAGTGTCTCCTGGAGTGTAACTCGACCGTCCTCAACAAGCTGCTGCCTCTCTGGTCGCCGATACTACACTCGCCGCTTTTTAACGTGAGGATACATTCTACTGATATTATTTTATAAATACCTAAGTTTGTGACAATATGGACGTTTGTTTGTGAAAGAATTACGCAAAAATTATTGATTACGACGAAATTCTAAAATGATGCAGCTCAGACTGTAATAAACTGTAACTTATCCCGAAGTGTCGAATAGTGGCTGCAGACTCATGACGTTACAATTATAATATGTCTCTGTCGATTGGTTATCAGATTTGTTATTTTAACACTCTATATATCTCTGCAAGTCCTTTCTGAAGTCCAAACAAACACAGTCTCTGCCTTAGCTATATACTGGTACGATATTAACACAATACATCCTTATCACTAGATGCCTCGCCACGTGTCTCACCGGCTGGAGGCGTGTCGGGAGCTGAAGCCGGACGTGGTGTCAGTGACCCCGCCCCCTCCCCCCGCGACCGGCGCGCCCCCTCCCCCCGGTCCCCCGCCCGGTGTCAGCTGCCTGGCCGCAGCCAGGGAACACCGGCGACTATACAGACTACTCACTAAAATGGCTCAGTTAGAACTACAACCACAGTCATTTTACTTCATATAGTTAGGTTTACAACAAGAGATAAAATAAAAATAAATAAAATTTATTTATTTCTGTAACTTATACATATACAACAGATCCAGCTAGAGAGCTCCTTTTAAGTTATAGAATTAACTTGTGTTAGGAGTCCCCGCTCTTCCACAAACGGAATCAAGGTAAACACAATGAAAAGAGACGGAAAAATATACGTCATAGAATGATAGAAGATATTAGAATGATCGCCAGAATTATACTGTTATATATTATTGTTTTTGTATAACACCTTGTTACTTGTATGTTGTATGATTTATAAATTATAATAATCTATATGGAAAAGAAGGATCGAAAAGAAATGTATTAATATAACATCGACAAATAGGGCACTCCCGACACGAACAGATTGGCTGATATAGAGACTCGGTATATGAATGTGTTTAATATATTTATATATACACATATTATTTATACATATTTTAATTGTTGCCAAAATATACATAGTATATGTATTAGTATATGAATTCTGAATAAATTTTTTTAAAAATAATTTGTTTCATTTCAATAAGTGTTCAACTGTTTTGGTGAAAGACTCCTTGTACTTTTTGATATTACTGACTTTCCTTAATAGGTACTTCTGATACTGCCAGTTTATTGTAAGACGTGAGACGTTGTTGTTTATTAAAAAAATTTGAAGCAGTGGGTGTCGATTAGACCAACGAAGTTACAACTTTTACATTGAAACATACATAAACATATCCAAAATTAAGTCGCAGAAAAGTAATCAAAATGTTCGGAACATATAGAATTAAAATAACAAAAAACTAGTAATTTACAAGGGAAACTTAGTTTCATTTAAACAAATCATTCAGTCATTGATAATTTTTGTTCTAGGAAATAATATGAGAGATGTAAACTACCTACATATATACGACTAAGTATTCAACGATGGAAAGAGGATATAAAATTACATGATGTCATTCTTAGAGGACAAATAATAATGACGTACAGTCAGTGAATATTCGTATGAATAAAGTTTAATGTACAGTTACGTCTTGCTGAGTAGGCTTTGGTAGAAAAATTTTGTAGTAATAAAAAAATATATATATTTAAGTCAGTGGTGGCTCAGTGGTGAAAGGGCCCGCCTCTCGTCGCCGAGGGCGCGGGTTCGATCCTAGCCCAGGCAAGTACCAATGTGATTTTTCCGAATCATATGTACTTTCTAAAAGTATTTAGACATCACTGATTAATGTTGATTCCCTAAAAAAGGGTTGATGTCAGGCAGGCGGCCGGTCGTAAAAACAAATAGCCAAAAACTATTCACAACATGTAAGGCAGACCCTGGCTATAGCTGGGAAATTGCCAGGTAGAAGAAGAAGAAGAAAAAAATATATATATTTCTTAGAGGAAGAATCAATAATTTATTGTATAAATCGATTTCATAGATTGTCAATCACAATATATTAGGGTGTCCCATAAGTTTTTTCCGCGCGACGTTATGAATGAGTCTGGCTGGCTATGCTTATATAAACATGCAGGCTTATCTCTTAGCCGTTTATGGCATCGGTTTCAGTCGTCCCAGAGCTCTTTCATAGTACGTTTCGTTGGTGACAAAGCCTCTTTTAAAAAAAAAATCTGCCCCGTTCAATATGGAGAACCAAAAGAAGCATTTACGGGATGTTATGCTTCATTGCTTTAAAAAAGGCAATAGTACAAAGAACACTGCAGATGAGATTTGCACCGTTTACGGGAGTGGTACTACGACCATTAGGACCGTCCGCAATTGGTTTAAGAATTTTAGAGCCGGCAATTTTGATTTGCAAGATGAAGACCGCAGCGGCCGCCCAGTAACGACGGATGCGGACCTTATGAAGACTGTGCTCTCTGAAAATCCACGTGATAGAGGATAAAACTAACATTCCCAAGACAACAGTACATAAGCATTTCATCAAGATGGGATATGCAAATCAGTATTAAGTTTGGGTTCCACACCTATTGACGGAGACCGGCCTTATGAACCGCGTCTCTACGTGTGATTTGCTTCTTCGTCGCGTCCTCGTGATGGTCGTGAGACAAAAATTATTACAGTTCGATTGGGACGTTCTACCTCATCCTCCGTACTCCCCAGACCTTGCTCCTTCCGATTATTACTTGTTCCTCTCTTTAAAAAAATATCTCCGTGGTAAATCTTTCAAATCCATAAGCGAAATAAAAACGCACACAGACGAATATTTTTTAGTAAGCCTCAACAATTTTGGAAAGAGGGCATAAGGAGGCTTCCTGAGAGATGAAAGAAGGTTATGGAACAGAACGGTTCATATATAATACAATAAATCAACCTCAAACAACAAATATCGTGTATTCATTTCGCATCAAAAAAAGGGAAAAAACTTATGGGACAACCTATATATTTTGTAACGTAAACTATAATCATATCGCAGTAATCCGTCGTTATTTATTTGAAAACCAAGTTGATCCTTCATTAGGTTTCTAAATGAATATGATTATTTATTAGTATTGGAGACTTAACTGTCGAAGACAGGTAATACAAGACATCAGGTTACAGATCTTTTTATAAGCATTATACTCCAGCATTATTTGATATTTAAATACAATTTCATTGACTTGATGAAAAAAACGACCCAGAAGTTATTCCAATAGATTATTGTATGATATGAAGTAAGCTTTTTATTTAATATTAATCACGTGCCGATTCTGTTAAAGGACATCAAGTATGGTAAACTCTATTCGTCGTTAATATTTCATCTACTAGATGTTATGCTATACCTTTATCCGCATGTGAAAATCGCCGTATTACTTATTATTACATAATTACATAACTCGTGTCTTAATAATAGTTAATTACACACGATTGAGTCACGACCGTCCCTCTGTGAATCTCTTCTTGATCTACGAGCTAGATTCAACACAATGGTTTCTGTTTTAGTTATTTATGAAATTAAATATATAAAATATTTCTGTTCAAAATTTCCTTGTGCCGAATTATTTATGACGCTATGCAAGAATGAGATTACGTTTTCTTTGTTATTTTAAAAGTAGGTAGATACCTATATGATGAAAGAGTTAGTACGTAGTTATATAATTGCTTGGATATCGGTAGTATTATACTGTGAATTACGCTGTCAATTTCAAAGACATTTATTTAAAGGTCTGCTCTGTCGTATTATTTTAAAGATCAGTTTATAAGAGAAACCCAGGAACTAAAAACTGTGTTAAAGTTTTGAAAATATTATCACCAAAGAAACAATGAGTAACTAATATGATGAAATTCTATATATGAAAAATTGTATACCTATCTATATCCTCATCTGTAACTTTTAAAATTAAAATTATTAAATAATGTGCATTTTTCATGTTCTTAATTCTTAATAATAGATATTTCGAATTTATTATGAGAAATCTTGAAAGAATTTACAACATACCTGAAAATGAATAGGAAAAGGAAAATTGTTATCTCAAAAAAACAGGTTGATAATAAAGAAACGAAAGAAATTTATTTAATAATCATCAATTAATAATACCAAAGATATTCTTTTGATGTGTTTGTGAAGATTTAACTTTTCAAAATATTCCTATAGACACATGAAAAGCTTTTATAAGTTCCCATTCATGTCTTCAGGAGCTAATAATAATAATTAGATCCTTCATTGGTTTTGCTTATAATCATACTTTTGCGAAGTGATAAGTGTTTTTACATAAACATAGTTTTTTTACTTATTGGTAAATTTTTAAAATTTACTGTTAGGGCAATAGTTTAACACCATAAAGCAATAATTTAATAATTTGTACATAATAGTTAGTTTCCAATATCTTTTATGAACAAAGTATAATAGGAGGCGTGATGGGAGTTCCATTAAATGGAAAATATGTAACAGTCGTGCCGGCGTCGATGATCCACGGAGTTTAAGTTAATTGCCCAAATTATTCTTCATTACTAAACATATCATTAAAACCCTAATTATTCCGTCGTTCATCGCCCACTCCGCTCGCCAACCTACGTGGTGAAATGACCAGACAATAGATATCAAACTTTGGACGCAATCGCATCAAAATGCGTTCATTAACCGCCTTTGTGTGACTTTAGCAATCCTACACCTATACTATGATTACTTTAATGACACAAAACTTTTAGAGATCCTTGGTTAAATTTAATAAGGCTACGTTATTATCCTAATTTGCAAAGGTTCTTTTGCGTAAGACCCTATTATTATATGATTAATAGGTGTTGGTAAAAAGTAATTTGAGTTCGATAGTAATCCATTTTTTATACTATGTTACAAAAGTCTATGTTTTATCGGTTGTTTAAATTTCTTTTTAGGGTATCTTTTGATAAAATCAGTTAATATTTTTCTTTATAAAATTACCTATAATAACTGCACCTTATCAGGGCGTCACAATTTAACGTCACTTGATGATTGATTTGACGAACATTTTTGTCTTGTTTACGTAATGTTTTTTGTTAGGGAGGCAGGTCTTTGTATCATCTCACAATCATTAATTTTAATAGAAACTATATTAATTAATAATTTGACCAACTATTTGTCCATTTTGACGTACAACAGACGTGTCGGAGATTTATTGAATCAAAAGGCATAGTATTCTCGTAGTGTGTTTCATTACGTTTATCAATTACAGTAACTCCTCTAATGTGGTTCTAATGATGCGTTGCTACACATTCATACATTACACTCATTATTGTGAACCTCTTGAATTATGTGAAACATAATTTTAAATATATATACTTCATCTCAATTTGTCTAATTTGAGTCAGCGCTGGAATCATCTTGGAGGATAAACTCGTGTTTACTTCGTAACCATCATATAATTACGTTTAGTAATATTAGGATTTCACAGTTCTCTTTTTTTGACCTTTCACACTCTTTATGGTAAATAATGCTTTAATTTTAGTTTAATACGACGCAAAGAACGCTCTGCTGCGAGCTTGCAATAACAAGAAACAGATATTTGAAGTTTTTAACTTGATTTATCAACTTGGTATTTAAAGAAGT